CACTTGCTCCAGGTCACGTGGGGCGGGGCGGGTTGAGCGTGGGAGCCTCCATGCTCCCAGCGTGACTGGGAGCCTCGCTCTTAGCCCCTGGGCCACTCCAGGTAGAAACAAGGGGACATCTAACGAGATGTATGGATGCAGAGACATCCGTCCCTTTAGTGGTTCTTACAGGGCAGGTGGGCCAGCAACAGTGAAAAAAGAGAACCTGGGGATACCCACACCCTCCTTCATTCTGAAGGACTCTTGTTGGAGGTGGGGCTCTTCCACCACATTGCATCGTCACACCCGTCCCGGCCTCTGTGGTTTCAGGTAAGCAGTCAGCAGTACCTCATCGAGGAATCCTTGTGGGAGATGGTCTAAGATTGACTTTCTACCCTTTGGCTGAAACGTGCCTGGCGTGGGCCTCTCTAAGTTTATCCCACCTGGAGTCCGTTGTTTCTTTAATGTGTAATGTTTTCCATCAAATCCGAGCATGCTTGCCCATCATCTCCTAAATGTAATTTCTGGCCCTGCTTCCCCCTCCCCTCTGGGACTTCACTGTGTGTAAGTTGGTGCCCTGTTCATTCTTCTTCATTCTGTTTTTTTTGTCCTCAGATGAGATCGTCTCAGTGACTCATCTTCAAGTTTGCTGATTCTTCTGTCTGCTCAAATCTACTGTTGAACTTTAGTGAAATGTACATTACACTTACTGTATTTTAAACTCCAGAATTTTTATTTCCTTTTGATAATTTGTCTTTATTGCCATTCTCTATTTTGCTGAGAATCATTCTCATACTTTCCGTGAATTCTTTGGACACAGTTTTCTTTGAACATACTTACATAATAGCTGATTTAAGGTCTCCGTCTACTTATATCTGGGCTTCCTGGGGGCACTTTCCATGACTGCTTTTTCCCCGTGTGTGGCCCATACTATCCTGTTTCTGTGAACGTCTCATGTTCTGTTGTTGTTGAAAACCGAACATTTAAAGTAATACCGTGGCAACACTGTAAGAGCCCTCCCCACAGCTTAGATATTTTTCGCTTAGTAACCTTCTTGGATGAGTCCCCTAAAAGCTATATCCTTTGCTCTGTGCTGCCTCTGAAGTCTCTGCTCAGTTAGCCGACCTGGTCAGCTAGTGACTGGGCAGAGTTCTCTCTAGTACTTTGGACTCATCTCCCAGCAGTATCTGCTGAGGGCTGGTGTGTGTGTGTGCGGGGGGGGGGGGGGGGAGTCTGTTTCACATCCCCTCAGGCGGTTGACACCTCTGCCGCAGCCTCCACCTCCTGCTTGCACGGTGCCTCAACACCAGCTGGAGGTGACAGGTCCGGGCTCACTCGCACGGGCCTTTCCTGGACACATGCACAGCCCTGCACTTGCACATCTTTCTAGAGCCCCAGGAATGCCAGTTTTCCCAAGCCCCTTTTGGACATCAATTTCCCACGTTTTCCTTTAAAATTTTTTGGTCAACTTGTATCGCCACCCCAGGGACCTGATGTGTTAAACAACTGCCACTGTTTGTTTTCCACGTGGTTTCCCCAGGAGCCAGCTGAGCCAAACAGTGGCAGTTCTCTGGGGACGGGGCTCTTGGGAAGCGATGAACCCACCCTGCCCGCTCCCAACAGCTGCAGGTTTTCACTGCTATTGTGGTTCCAGGGCTGCTGTACGCTTTTCTCCATTATATTTTCTAGTCGCTATCAATGTTAGTGTATAAACCACAGAAATTTGTATGTTTTTATAACTGTCCCTTTATTAAATACGTGTTCGATTCAAAAGTTTTCAGATGATTTTCTTAGGTTTTTCACACAGGCAATCTCATATTTGAAAATGACCTTCTTTCCCGATACAAAATTTATAATCTTTTTCTTTCCCTATCGTATTGCCCAGGATTTCCAGATTAACACTAAATACAGACAGACGTCCTGGCTCATTTCCCACTTTTCTGCCTCAATTGTTTCTCAATTATTTCTCAGACTATGGCCTTTGTCTCAATAGGGTGTACTCTTTACTATGTTCACCAGCACCTTTCTCTTTAGCCCGAACTAAGAACTATCAATAGGTGTCCACCTTTCCTTAAATGGAAACTTGTTAGGACAAATTAATGTTAATTAAGGTCTGCCAGGTTTACTCATCCTTTATTCAACTGATACTTATTCACCAACTGTGTGCTAGGAACAGTGATAAACAATTGGAAAAGATTTAAATAACACCCACATAACCTCTGCTTTGGACACTTACAGTCCAGGCGGGAAATGGTTTTAAATAAAGCTAAACTGGGATTATGCTACTGTGATGGTGCGGAGTGAGCTGATCAACAGGGAGGCTGACGCTAGACTCTTGAGACTCGCCTCAGTCACCCCGACCATCGGCAGGGGATGCCAACAGCAGTGGCACCTCTAGTGGTTCCCCTCCACTTGTTCAAACCAGACCCTCTTTCATTCCTTCTCAGTGCTCTGGTTTTCAAGACTGTTTTTTCTACTCATGATTATCTTTCAGAAGAGCTGTTTTCAAAACTCAGAGTCTGAGGTAGGCAGAGAATAGTCAAATTAAGATGGAAACAAAAGGAGTAATATCAGTGCCCTGAGGTAGTTCTTTTGAAAATGAAAGAATTAACAACTAGCAAATATAAATACTATACTGTAACCACTTTTCAAATTATCTGCTTCCACACTAAAAATTTTACTCCAAAAGACAAAGGAAGAACAAATCACAAGTGAGCTAACAGAAAAGTTTTATTGAATAAACACATGCACTGTCGTGTAAAATTAGCTGAGCGGAAAGGGCATTCTACAATAAACCCTCTGCTGTGTTCCATCCACAGCGGGCCATCCAGCTGGACTGGAGTTAAAGCAACAACCACAATATAAACACACACGCTGATTGCATCTGGCTTCAGTGCTTGACAAAGGAGGGCTGACCTCTGGATGAGGAAGAAACTGTGGTGAATTCAGCTGCAAGGCTCCTTCTGTTTTAACCTGAAGCAACTGCCTCACACTTCCTACTTTAAGGCACAGGATAAGCAACAAAGTAACAATTCAAATTAACCAATGCTAATTTCCCCTCCATTGGTTTGGCTCCAGGTAGAAAAGCTAAAGTTCCCTTTTCCCAGATGAATCAATTATTCAGAACCACCGGCCATGAAGGTTTTGAGAACGGAGTGTCCATCGCCAGGATCCTGGAGCCCGGCCGGAGGTCTGGCCTGATACTGATTCTCAGCTGCCCAACTGGACACAAGAGGTTCCCAAAACACCCATCGGCCATCAAGACAGAATCCTACCTGGGAGGTGTTTCAGTGACCTCAGAGTCATCCCTTTCCTTTCAAAGAGAATGGAGCTGTTTGCTGGGTCTGTGTCCAGCCCCACGATCCACACAGAGGGTGGGCATCATGCTGCTAATTGGCTTTGTTTGGGTTTTGTACCTTTCATGGCATTTATTTTGCCTAATTGCTTAACTGAAGTATTCCACCATGTAAAATACACATTGAACAGGTGAACCACGTGGCTACAAAACCCAAAAGCTGGGGATGTTGGTAGAAATCACTGGTATGCTACATTTCAGTGAGTGTTTCTCCTGTCTTAGAAATATGCCAGGAGCCAGGGGTCCCCAACCCCGGGAAGGAGGACCGGTTAGGAGCCTGGCCTCACAGCAGGAGGCGAGCGGCGGGCGAGCGAGCGAAGCTTCACCTGCCGCTCCCCGTCGCTCCCCATCGCTGGCGTTACCGCCTGAGCCATCTTCCCCCACCCCACCCCCAGTCCATGGAAAAACTGTCTTCCACGAAACCGGTCCCTGGTGCCGAAAAGGCTGGGGACCACTGCCAGAAGCCCTGCAACAAACTTTTTTTTTTTTTTTTGGCTGCACTGCGTGGTTTGTGGGATCTTAGTTCCCCAGCCAGGGATCGAACCCGGGCCCCTGGCAGTGAGAGCGTCGAGTCCTAACCGCTGGACCACCAGGGAATTCCCACAAGAAACCTAATTTTTAAAAAATCTCCAAAGATCTAATATCACGGGCAGGCAACTAGATTTAGGAATTACCTGTCTTTCTCACGCTGCTGCAGTACCAGAGTTAGGTGTTTCCCGAGCACACACCCCTGAGTGTCACCACGTTCGTAAGGCCCTCCCGTGCTGACAGAGAAGATGGTCTCTGCTGGGGCTTCGGAGAAGCTTCATGACCCAGGAAGCTGCGAGAGCACTGGGTCTGCACGACTGCGTGAGATGTACTGCAAGGCTACAGGCCCCATCACACGCACACCCAGGGTTCAAGGTGTGCGGTGGACACCACTGAAACCCGCCAGAGGGCAGGAGCAGCGGTGGCGTCCACACAGGCACTTGGGCAGGCCGGTCACGCCCAGGAGTCCATGGCGGGGGCCCTAGTGAGGTCTCTGACTGAATCTCACAGCTCTATTTTCCCCGGGATCACTACGTAGCTGTAGGGTGCCCTCTGGCTAAGGAAGTCATTTGCACCACACGTCTCAGAATTCTTAAAGCTCTTTCTGCACACGTGCACCCTGTGCTCGGGGCATGCACAGCTACCGCACGGCTATGGAGCCTCACCTCGTAAGAGGCTTGCGGCCTTTAAGTATCTAAAACATGCTTTTCATAATCTAAGAAGAAGAATATTCCCAAATAAAAGTTGTATAACAATATTCCAATACTGAGGTCAGTCATGGCGTAAAGTGAGGAAACCCAGTAAGGGGTTCCTTACAACCAGCAGCCGCTGTGCCGGAACCCCGGGGCTGCGGTGGTGGCTGGCGCCGGCTCGGGGGCTCTGTCCTCTGTGTGCGTCACGCTGACGATCACGGGCCGGCGTCAGCTCCCACCGCGACTTCCTAGCTACTCACCCCGACCTACCTCACAGCCTCTACGGGGACAACGTGAGTTTGTCTTTCTTTTCGGGCTGAAAAACACTGTAAATTTCACAACAGACTAACTGCTAACATTTAAAATCCGTCTGTATTACATTTCAGGAAGAGTATGATTATGTATCTGCACTGTTTCATGAATAAGTTACAACAAGCAACTAGAAATAAACTTAAGACATTCCATTTTATGTAAGAAATTTCAGATTAGTGCACTATGATTTATGAACCATGACAACTCTCTTAATATTTTATATAACTCAGTTATGTGACATTTTTCCTGATAAGCACTTCAACTGACTTCTCAATAATACATCTTTATATTTATGAAAGTGTAAATACTTTGAATACATTCTTTCATCATTCATAATGGGCACAAATATACTAATATTTACTAATCTTTCAGCTTTTCTTTTTAAAAAGAAACACCAAAAAATAGGTCACTGAGAGCTTTTTCCTGCAGAGACAAAAACGGTTATTTGTCATAAGAATTTAATAAGTTTTAGAAGAAAAAAATATATATATTTCCTTGATCCATTTTCTTCTGAATTCAAACCAGCATGTAGAGATTATAAAAAATAGTCTATTTACACAGCATAGTGCACCTCAGTGATATACAAAACAAAGCAATAAAAAAGCACAACCATATATCGGCTTCCTAGGAGAGACAACTGACATACAGCTTTATGCACACAACGGTTGGCCACTATCCTGTGCACGCCGAAAACGCTGGTCAAATACTAGAGGAAATGAAACATACAAAGCTTAATGCTAATAATGGCCAAATACGCCTAAAACGTCAATGTTTTATAAAACCACTAAGGGACAAGTAACCACTAAGGGACAAGTAACCAAGTACATGAAATTATAAAAAGAGCATGGGTGCGTCTGTGTAGGCTGCGTGTTGGCACGGGGCTGGCGGATACAGCGGGGGCTCCTCGGCCAGCGCAGCCTACGTCACCACGTGGGGCCTCGTCCCATCCTCCGTGAGGTCGTACCTGAGACACAGGAAGACACACGGTCACAGGGGAAGCGCTCCTGAATGGACGCACGGGGCTCTGCGTCTGTCTGTTGGGGGGCACTCACCACTGGGTCCAGCCTTTGGCGAGTTCTTCAGATGCCAGACCGACCAGGACCTGTGGTGAGAAAAGGCCTGCAACAGTGGGTTTCAGGCCTCTCACCATCGCTTCTGATCTTCTCTGGCAACACACACTCCCTCATTTTCAGCCTCTCATTTTTCAACTTTTCTACCCTTATGATCCACCCATGACCTATACGGTCAATTATACCCAAGAGGCCCTTCCTGTATCCAACAGTCTTGACAGGAAGTTATCACAAAGCACCAGGGGGGATAATTCACATTGATACCGGCTCACAAACCACTCACAGCAGCTTAGCTGACGTGGTTTATCCACGTACATAAATCTAGTCTAAAAAGAGTACTCTGGGTTAAGCGTTTAATTTTTACAAAGCGTAGGATTTTTTTTTTTTTCCGAACTTACTTTGCCGAGAAGTCCTTTGTCTTTGGACAGGAAGCCACCGCTGTTCTTCACGGCCACATCCAAGGTTCTCCTCTGCAAGTCCGGCAACGAGACACTGAAATCAAAGCTGAAGTGGAAAACAGAGGATCATCCTTAAATTTCTCCATAATTTTGCTCTGTTTTACCGTAACTAAAAAATGACATTGCTGCTTATGAGACCATTCCAAATGTGATGTTCATTTTTTATTATAAAACTGATCTCTCCTGCTAGATGTTTGGACCTGGCCCTTCAGGAAGACTCAAAGTTTTTTATTTTTCCATTATTCTCCAAACATAAGAGGAGACTGGAATCCTAAACATGCGAAAGGCTGACCCTGTGGCTCCCCCGTGTGAACACAACACCTGACTCCTGGTGTAAAACGTGGGCCATGGTGTGCGACACACTGGGGGGCCCACCAGTCCGCTCCCCCAAAGAGGGTGAGCTCCAAGCCTGCAAGTGAACAGAAGTGGGGTGTCCGAGAAGCAGCCTCACAGAGGAGGGGATCTGCAGGCACCTTCTGGAGGCTGAAACCGGATGCTGCAGAACAAAAGCCTCCAGAAGCGAAGCTGGCAAAGCAGAGGACAAGGTCGGAGGCCTCGTGGGGACGCGGGGACACGTGGACATGGACGGCCTTCCCAAGAGCGAGCAGCCTGAACCCCAGGTTTGCAGGAACTCTTAGAGGCTGCGGCTGAGCCAGACACCCACACCAGGAGCGGGTGCCTGCCCATCGGTTTCTCATCTCTGCGTAAATAAAGTCACTGGTGAGAAACCATGATTAAGTGACTAGTAACTGAGTTAATGGATATCAACACCATTCGACTTACTATTTCTCCACATGTGCACAGGCCAAGGCTGGTGGAGTGTGGCCTGAGGATTCAGGATGTGATGCTCAAATGCCTATTTATTTATTTATGTTAACAAGTTTATGACCGCTCTTCGGGAGGTGTTTTTCACTCATGCTCTCACTGGTGTAAATGCCTCCGTCATTCCAAGGCACCACCAGGCCTTCCTTGAGTGGTGAACACAACTGTCTACCCCACTGAGTGGACGCGTACCTCTGATCAAACACGGGGTTCAGCGTTTTCTTTGACACGTGTGTTTTTCTCCTTCCTGACCTCCTCTTGTCTGGTAACAAATACAGGCGGACGTAGGGATCAGAGCCGTCTTCAGAGAAGGCAATGAGATTTCTTATAACACAGACCAGAGAATGCTCGGTATTAGAATCTACCTAAGGTTAGATACCTAATTAGATACCTAATCTATCTAAGGAGCACCGCACTGGAACTTGCTACCTGGTTTTACTTGCATCCCGTGACTGCCTCCTTCCCATGTGCACTTCGGTCAGCGGCTCTGCAGAGGTGGCCTCTGCCCCATTTCCTGCGCCCAGGGTTTGGGAGATGTTCTGACCCACAGAGAATCACCTTTCCACACTGCTTCACTGTCCCCTCCCAGTGAGGGGACGCAGCCAGCCTCGCGGGAGACCCCTCCCCGGCTCCTGCTCAGGCCATGGACCCCACCCTCTGCCCTTCGTCCACCCGAACACTTCACAGATGCAGGCCCACCTCCTTCAGGCAGCTTCATGCTGCTCTCGTCCTCGGACAACTGGGCCAAACACGCTAGTATTTAATTACAGCCGACCCTTGAACCACGTGGAGGTTAAGGGCTCCAACCCTCCGCATATGTGGTTCCGCATCCTTGGAGTCAACCAACTGCAAATCGTGTAGGGTGGTGGCATTTACTACTGAAAAGCTCCTCGTGTAGGTGGAGCCATGCCGCTCAAACCCACGCTGTTCAAGGGTCAGCTGTCCCTGCAACCACTTCCAATTGTTCACTTGTTGATGGACCGAAAGCCCACGAGGGAGAGTCCTCTGAATCAGACTGCTGCTCCGGAATCTCACATAGTAATTATCTCGGCAGCAGAAACATAGAAGGTGCTCAATAAATAGGTAGTGAAGCGAACTCGACATTTATATAATCATGTTTCTAAACGTTACTAATTTTACTTTCCTGTTTCCACGCCTTTTTATAAGGTCCAAATATTTCTACCACATATCTCCATCACAGCTACTAGTGAGACAATCAAGTCACATAAAGGAAAATAATCAGCGCCACACCACCATCAGTCATCAAACACAAACTGAAGCAACACCGTCACATCACGTTACGTTTACCGAACCGGTACAAACCGTCCTGCTTGTGGGGAAAAGAGCTCGTGGGCTCTTCCCGAACAACTACAGCTATTCCTGTCACTATCCCACAGACTTGCCTGAATTCTCTGAATTGTTATAAATCCACTCCTGGAAATTGAATCCCCAAAAGACACTTCACTAAAAGAAAACTATGCTTATTATCATGTTGTAAACGTTCAACCACAGGGAATGTTTTATGAACTGCAATATGGCAGTTTAAGGGAGTGTTACAAAGCAACCAAAACGGTTAGTAACAGAAAATGTTATGAAACAAGGTTAAGAACCTGAAAACCAGGACTACGGTATCTAACTGCAGTATCGCCTACTTGCTCTCGTCTGTAAATGAAACAAACTGCTGTCCGTGACGCGGCTCACCTGCAGGAGTGCACGACCACCACCAGCTTGTTCCTCTGCGAGCTGTGCCGGACGGTCAGCTGGATCTGCCCCAGCGGGGACTGTCCCAGGGTCGTCCCGCTGAGGAAACAAAGCCGAGAGTGAGAGCACTCCTCAGACCGCACAGCGGCTGTGAGCACGTTCATTCACTCGGAAAGCGGGAAGCAAAGCACCCATGAACATGAACCTAGTCTGAACTTCTGGGTATGAACGGACCAGCTGGATTCATATTTCCTCCGAGGGTTCAATATAACCCAACTGCTGACAACCATGTGGCCCAAAGTGAGAACAAGACACAGGCCTCTCCTTACAAGCATCCACTCTTCAGAGTTTCTGAAGCTACGTCTACCCTAGAACTGCCCAAATCTGCGCTCCTTTCTCCGAGCCCCTTGCTGTGCACCTCACGGGTCGTCTGATGAGGTCACACCCCCTCCCCTCCATCCCATCTCAGGCTGAGGCACCAGCTCCAGGACAACCAACGACGGCTCTGACTGAGCTCCGAGATCTTCTCGATTTCTCCCCAAATTTAGCTCCTGGGAAAAACTGTTTTCTTATTTAAAATTCTATTTCTTTCTAGAGCAAGGGAGAGACAGGGACTGCTTCCTTTCTCCTGAAATTGCAGCCACGAGCAGAGCTGCTCTGCGCATGGGTTACGGCCGCCTGCCCTGGCTGAGCCCCGGGCCACAGGCTCCACACCTCGGCCTCTGCTCCGTGCTCAGCACACCGCAGGGCAGCAAAGAGGAGACCTCCCCAAAGAGCAATCCACTCACCCTGCTGAGGGGAAAAGGCTCACGTTAGGGTAACTGCAGACTTTGTCCTTATCTAAGGAAACCACGGACATGCCCATGACTCACGGGGCATAAGTGAGAAATCCACACAAACATCCACAGACAGACAAACCTGCTGGGCGGTGAAATGGGTGGGGGTCAAGCATGAAAGAGCAGGGCCTGTTCTCATGTGACAAACGTGTCCAGCTTCCGCCAAGCCTTTCCGCGTCAGGTCAGCTTTAGACTCTGCCTTCCTGGTCTGAGGATCCCCCCACTGTTCCTAAGCTTTAAATAAGCCAAATACTAGGCCCTGGAAAATGGCAGGTTTACTTTGAAAGCCAAAGGTTCGGTGAGCGAAAGGGCCACACTGCCTGAAAGCTGTTTGGCTTAGGACCGCGTTCCCTCCCTGCAGCCCGCGGGTCAAGAGCCAATTCAGCAAGAGCAAGGGGCGTCTAGTTACTTCTCAAGCTGCCGCAGCCTCTGTCGCAGCTCCTGTGTGGCGACGGGCAGCGAGATGTCTGAGGCGATGCTTGGGGTGGGCTCCTTGACGGAGACGTGGCTGGGGGAGCCGGTGCTGCCGGCCTGGAGGCTGGAGGAGCTTCTGCCCAGGTCCCGCGGACCCTGCGGGCTGGCCTCTGCGGGCTGGGCTCTCTCTTCCACACCTGGCTTATTATCGCAGCCCCCCATGACCGGCGTGGATGGGGCTGTGCTGCTGTCACCAGTGCCTGGCGATGCAGACATCTGAGATCTGACAGATATTTTTCTCCCTTCCTTGGAAACAGAGGGTCGCTTTACTTGAGCTGAGTGCTGGTGGTCTGGAGACCTTTCTTGCTTTTCAAGGTGGAGTACCTTGAGGTGAAAATAGATACAAAATTAAAATGGGTGACACTCGTAACAGCCTCATACATGAACAGCTTTAGAGATACTCATTTGCAAACGTTTCTTTAAAGCTTGGCACAAAACATGAAAAACAATCTAGCCTCTCTGTTCAGCTATCCTACCATATTACAGAAAGTGTAGAAAAAGGCACATGCGGGTAACCATCACAGCACCGCGTGGTGCCAGCCACACTTCTGTGCATCTCTCTCCAGCCTCCTCCTGTCCACTCTTCTGCACAGTGGTGACAGCTTGACAGTGGCAGAGCCCGAGCCACAAACCCCATCCTACACTGACCCTTATCCTACCGTCTCCACCAGCGACCGGGGAAGGGCGAGGCTGCCAGACCCCTAGGGTTGACATGGGAGCAACACCTCCCTGCTTTGCTTCCTTTCACATTAGCTCTGAGCGTGCACATGTCCCTGAGCAGTCTACACCCTGCATTGGGGGTCATCCCGACGGCCTGAAGCTTCTTCCCGCTTTTACCAAGTAAAGCTGCAGCCAACACCCCCAGTTCTGTGTTATTACCAGGAGTCAGGTTTCCAGAGAAAGGGCTCTGTGGTTTACAGCTGAAGACACTGAAGTCCCTTCTGGAAAGGCTGTGACCAGGCACAAGGAGGCCGTTTCCATCACACCTTCCACAGACTTTGTTTTACTTTAAAAAATAGTTGGTTCTGCATTTTAATTTGCATTTTAAAAATTAGAGAGTTTTAGCATTTTCCCGTATGTTTGCCAGTTTTATTTTCAGCATTTCCTTAGGTACTTACAAATGAATCATCGTCTATTTTGGACAATATTTTTCCTGTAATCTCTACTGTCTTGCAGAGTTTTTTTTAATTCTTTTTTCTGAATGACCTTTGAAAATTTAACATTAGCAGAAAACTTTATTGATCCAGATAGCAATACTTTCTGGACAAAAGGATTAAAAAAAAAAAAAAGGCTGGTGGGATTCATGTGAAAGCCCAAGGAACAATTCCGGGCCTGCTCAAGCAACCTGGAAACTCTGCTGCTGTTGGTGTCGGAGTCCAAGCCCTGGTCATCTCTCCCCTGAGCTACACAGCCAGCAGCAATGTGAAAACTCACACTCCCCGTAAAGCATGTCCCTGTCATCCCTGCCCCACGCCCAGCACCGTGAGCACCACGGGCACTGCCCACCCAGGACCCTTCCCCCAGCTGCGCTCTGGAGACGGCAGTACCCTGAGGGCGAGCTTCATCTTCAGCGAGCTGTTGGGGCCTGAGTTACTGAGCTGGAACCGCTGGTTCAGGGTCATGTCCTCGCAGGCGAGCAGCTGGCTGAGAGGGATCCTCAGGTTCCCCAGGCAACACTGGTGCTGCTCATCTTTCACCTGCCAAACACGACAGAGCGCTCAACGCTGGGGATGGAGACAGAACACGCAGGAAGGCCCCAAACCCCATCTTCGGCCACCTCCTTCTACATCCTGTCGCCATGTACAACGCAGTAGGAAACCCCGTCAGGGAGACTCAAAACATTGCAAATAGTGATGCTACAGTGTAGCCATGTCACAGGGCCGGTCATCTCCCAATCACATAGTCATAATGAGCACGAAAAAGAGAAAACCCCGTTCGAGGAATCCATTACAAGGACCCTGAGCTGAGAGGCAGCAGTCCACACAAATCTGAAGATGAGAAGGAAATGTCTTCAGTCCTGTGAAAACGGTGACAAAACACATGCCTAGTGGTGTGCCAAGTTCTAGTGGTGACACTTGTTCATGGAGAAGACCCATTTCTAAGTTTCTTTTAAGACTTCTACTCAAAATGTACAACATCTGCTTTAACTGCATGACAATTTCTGGCTCCTGAATAATAACCTTCAGCTTTGCCTCTGCAACAGGAACCACTCCTGTTAGGTTGCTGAGATACAGGTAGTTTAACCAAAAGGGGTAAGAACTTTGGTGGTTTCATAGGCTCTACAGCAATGATCAAGTAAGTTAACTACACGTAAAAACCGAACAGCCTGATTGCTTATTGTTTAAACTGTAATCGCAAAAGCATTTTTTAATGAAATAACTGAGTTTACAGAACGTTAAAAATTATTTTTTTAAATCCAAGGTCCAGTTACTATAGATTATTTTAAGAGGAGTGCAAAAATTCTTTGTTTTAAAGGTTATCCCATCTTATTTTTTTTAAATTGAAGTACAGTTTATAATATTATATTAGTTTCAGGTATATAAAAGTGATTCATTAACTTTATAGACTGTACTCCATTTAAAGTTATGACAAAATAATGGCTCTAGTTCTCTGTGCTGCACAATATACCTTTATTGTTCACTTATGATGCAAAAATTCTTAAAATTTTAGCAAATTAAATTGAACAAATAAAAAGGATACTACATCACAAGTGGGGTTATGTCCAAATAAAGGTTTGTTTGCAAGGTTTTCTCATGTTAAATCTTGAAAACCAGTAAATGTTTGCAAGATTTAAGATTTAAAAGTCAACACTGCATTTCACCATATTTACAAACTTAAAAAGGAAAATCACGTGATCATCTCAATACTTGTAGAAAAGTCTCTGACAATATTCAACACCCATTCATTACAAAAACACTCAGCAAACCGGCAGGAGGAGTATAAGGAAGTGAAACACAAAGGCTTTGCCCTTAGGATCTGGAAGGAGGCAAAGGTGTCCACTGACACCGAGGCCGGGCTGGCAGAGGGGAAGGAACAGGAAGGGAAGTGTCATTACGAGCAGTACCCTGAGGTATCCACACGGAAGCGACTAGAATAAGCACGTCCAGCAGGGCTGACAGTGGTGCCAACATGTGAACACCAACACCCACTGCACCTCTGGACGCCAGTATCAGTCAGTCAAAAGTTGAAAATTAAAAACTGACAGCCCCCCGCCCGACACCTAGGGCATGAACACATCTGGTGGGCCCACGATGGCGGTTCTCCCTCTGTTGACTATGTGACGCAGAGATACAAACACAACCACATAAATACGCAAATCACTTACCTCCACCTCGAGCTCCTGGCGCTTGGGATTGTGAACGAAGAAAGTGAAGTTTTCCTCCCACACAGGTTCATTGGTTTTGTACCGAATCTGAAAGAAATATCCAAAATCAGCTCTGGGATATTTGCTGTGGCAAAGCACTACCACACTGTGTTTATCGAGTATCGCACTTGACAGCTACGGATGACACCCATCCTCTGGGCTGTCCTATCAAGAGTTAACTGTGGAAGGTCCGGAGCGTGTCAGCGGATGAGCTGCCAGCAGCTCCCAGCCTGGGTCCCAGGCCCCATGACAATGCGCCATCTGCATGTGTGGTCCTCACTCCACGACCTCCCCAGGCCGGCGGACTGCTGCACGTCAGGAAGTTTCTTAGATGAATGGTTAGCAGTTAATAAAAGGGAGGAATTCCTGAAATGTTTCCTGAAAGTAGCACATATTACAGCAACAGCAATGCCCTCTCTCAGTTTTTGAACAGAATCATATTTGTTGAACAAGTCCCCTACATATGAACCTTCAAGCTGTGAACTTTCAAACACGCGAATGTGTATCCGGTTCCAGAGAGGAACCAGAGCCTGTGCCGTGCACGTCAGGTGGAGGGAAACTGCAGCCTGCCCTCTGGCTCCTGTTGCTGACGACCCCTCCTTTCCCTCCTCCAGTCGGTCACTCTTCTCGCCTGTTCCCTCGATGCCAGCCCCTGGATGCCAGCTGTTGGACTGGACTACTGTACTTTTCAAGGTACTGTACTGTAAGATTAAAAATGTTTTCTTTATTTTGTGTGTTTGTTTTTTATGTATTATCCGTGTGAAGAGTATTATAAACCTATTACAGTACAGTACTATATAGCCGATTGTGTTAGTTGGGTACCTAGGCTAACTCTGTGGGACTTAACGAACAAATTGGACTTACGAACTCACTCTCAGAAAGAAACCCGTTCGTATGTAGGGGACTTCCTGTGCACTGCTGGTTGTCTTTTAAACAAAATATTAATAGGACATTCAAAGGAAACTTAGAATTTGTCCCATGTCATCTACCCATGAAATCAAGCAAAAGCATAATTAACATATTCGTGTCACTTTTTAATGTTACTTTTAAATGAATATATTTGATACCAAATTAAGTAGCTGGTTATCAAACAACTGATTTGAGAAAACAAAAGAAAGACTCATAAATCAATGGTCTTGATGCCTGCGCCACCCCCAACTGGTGACAGTGACAGCGCGGTCACAGGGAAGTGCCCCAGTCAGACTGCCGGTGCCTTACCTTGCTCTCCTGGGCCTTGTGACCAACTGACATTTGGACAAGAGGATTTGGGTTGCTGTTTATTTTCTTCCCTGACTATCCAAAAACAAAAAACAGATAAAAATCAATAAACACATCTTGAAATGGGGATCACTAAAAATGGGATTATTGGCTTATATTAACAGTCATTTCTATTTACTTCTGATACTTCAGTTACAGGGAGTATCTAGGCACAATTTAACTGGAAAACAATTAATTGCTAACACACCCCAAAGCCATAATTGTATCTACATAAAATAAATCAAGAAAACTTGTATTTGCAAACAATTTTAAAACGTTAAGGTCTTTTATTTTTTAAAGCAAGCAACTTTGGAAAAACGGAATCTTCCGAAAATCTTTACTGTTAATTCCAGCTCTCAAAACTTATTTTACTAGGGTAACAAAATGAATAAAGTGCAACAAATGGAAACAGAAAAGCACAGGAAGGACAAATGTGAGAGTGTGTGATTCAGAACAGTCTTCTGGTTGGAATCGTAAAAATAATAAAGTGTCAGAGGCACATTTTCACGTTTTTAATTTAGTATCTTCTGTTCAAACATGTACCTATCAGATTATCGAACCTTGCTTACCAGCTGCTAAGTAATTTTGACTGGAAGAATAAATGTCAATCTAAATTGCATTTAAGCAGATACAAATGCAATGAGAAAAATTCAGGAATAAGAAAAAATGGTAAGAAGCATACTTTAGCACAGGCAGTTGATAGAAGAATACATAGTAAAATGCAACATATATGGGACATGAGGTTTATTTATAACTTAGCCCCACAAGAAGATGCTGTTAAATATTTGTGTTAGTGGAAATTAATTAGAAGGTCACAAAATGTTTTTAAGTTAAATAATTTTAGAGTCAATCCTCAACACTGCAACGATGACAGAGGCGTCAAATTCATGACTATTGGAATAAAATATTACTAGCCCAAACCTACTGCGATAATCTAGTTTCTGGTTCATCTTTTTGATGTGAATGAATTCTGCAAAATGAAATAAACACTGTTAAAAAAAATCCAAGGCTACAGACTACAGTGGGAGAATACTAATTTCCCCCCTAAATCCATTTCTCCTTCTTCCCTTAACATGAGAGTCCTAGCGTCATAGCTGAGCACACAAATCCTCTGTGACACAGATTTTATTTCCGAATCTCCCTTGTAGTCAGGTGTGGCCCTGTAACAGTCTGGGGAGGTCTGGCCTTTGCTGTGCCCCCCTTCTGGCTGGAGGCATTGAGCACTGCGAAGCCACAGGCCAGAATTCTGCGACATTCAAGGGAAATAAACTTCTGTCTTTACTTAAGCTACTGCTACTCTTGAGTCTTTGATACAGAAGCTGAGTTTAACTAATACACTTACTTAATCTCTGAAAAAGTAGCCATTCATTCCTAGAGGTTTACTGTAGCTCATCAGTTTCAATATACCCTCCTCCCCGCCTTTTAAACTTTCTAACATCACTGAAAACAAAACGAAACTTACAATTGATGACTTTAAGCGCCTGTTTTTGGGCAGATTACAGTGGAGTGGTAGTTATCACTGCCTTCATCAATTTATTTTGCTTATATTTTCCTTCTGTGTGTGCATGTGACATGATAAAAATCTATGTTTATCCTAAGTCTAAAAATTCTTTCAGTAAGTATAAAATAAAGACTATCAAACCTTAACTGGCACCTTACTTTCTTTCCTAGCAGTACATAAAATAATGGTGTACAGTCGTCCCTCAGCATCTGTGGGAGGTTGGTTCCAAGACCCCCCAGGATACCAAAATCCCATCTATAAAATGACCTGGTGTTATCCTCCATATAATTTAAGTCATCTCCAGATTACACATAATACCTAATAAAGTGTAAATGCTATGTAAATAGTTGCAAACACAATGTAATGCTGCTGTTTGGAACTTTATCTGTAGATTTTTTCAGGATATTTTCGATCCTCGGTTGGCTGAACCCGTGGATGCGAAACCTGCATCCTAAAATGGATGATGTTTTGGATTCTATGAAATAAGGTTAAATCAGTGACTAAGTTTTCTATCAGGACGCAATATTCAAAATGCATGAGCACAAGTAAGACACACAAGGTATAATGAAAATATAAGCGTTTAAGTCAGACTGTGTTGAATTTAAATCTTAGTTTTTTACCACTTGATTACTGAGATTTACGTATTTATTTGAACCTCAGTTTTCATATCTATAAAATGGGCATAATATCATTTCCAGAACTCAGCTGTTAGGCTTAAATAATAGAATAGCAATTAAAAATATATATTATGCTCGCTACACTGGGCACTTTTACATGCATGTATTTAGTTAATGTACTCAACGCTCCCATACAGAAGAGTATCACTACCACTCTGAGTAACAAACCAGGGAGGACTCAGCAGCCTGCTGCAGGTCCCACTGAGGAGCAGTTGTGCTGGGATTCAAGCCCAGACAGTCTAGCCTAACTGGAGAGCCTTCATTCTAACCATCACGCTCTGTGGGTCAATAATCTTCAGTTATTAAAGAAATGGTGAGCGAAGGCTATGGATATGATTCCTCCCAGTGTTTCCATGAGGATCAGGTATTTCTTTTTTTTTTTAAACATCTTTATTGGAGAATAATTGTTTTACAATGGTGTGTTAGTTTCTGCTTTATAACAAAATGAATCAGCTATATGTATACATATATCCCCATATCCCCTCCCTCTTGCGTCTCCCTCCCACCCTCCCTATCCCACCCATCTAGGTGGTCACAAAGCACCAAGCTGATCTCCCTGTGCTATGCGGCTGCTTCCCACTAGCTATCTATTTTACATTTGGTAGTATATATAAGTCCGTGCCACTCTCTCACTTTGTCCCAGCTTACCCGTCCCCCTCCCCGTGCCCTCAGGTCCATTCTCTACAGCTGCGTCTTTATTCCTGTCCTGCCCCTAGGTTCTTCAGAACCTTTTTGTTTGTTTGCTTTTTAGATTCCATATATGTGTTAGCATACGGTATTTATTTTTCTCTTTCTGACTTACTTCACTCTGTATGACAGTCTCTAGGTCCATCCACCTCACTACAAACAACTCAATTACGTTTCTTTTTATGGTTGAGTAATATTCCATTGTATGTATGTGCCACATCTTCTTTATCCATTCATCTGTCAATGGACACTTGGGTTGCTTCCATGTCCTGGCTATTGTAAATAGAGCTGCAATGAACATTGTGGTACATGACTCTTTTTGAATTATGGTTTTCTCAGGGTATATGCCCAGTAGTGGGATTGCTGGGTCCTATTGGTAGTTCTATTTTTAGTTTTTTAAGGAACCTCCATACTGTTCTCCAGAGTGGCTGTAACAATTTACATTCCCACCAACAGTGCAAGAGGGTTCCCTTTTCTCCACACCCTCTCCAGCATTTATTGCTTGTAGATTTTTTGATGATGGCCATTCTGACTGGTGTGAGGTGATACCTCATTGTAGTTTTGATTTGCATTTCTCTAATGATTAGTGATGTTGAGCATCCTTTCATGTGTTTGTTGGCAATCTGTATATCTTCTTTGGAGAAATGTCTATTTAGGTCTTTTGCCCATTTTGGGATTGAGTTGTTTGTTTTTTTGATATTGAGCTCATGCTTGTAAATTTTGCTCATGCTTGTAAATTTTGGAGATTAATCCTTTGTCAGTTGCTTCATTTGCAAATATTTGCAAATATTTTCTCCCATTCTGAGGGCTGTCTTTTCGTCTTCTTTATGGTTTCCTTTGCTGTGCAAAAGCTTTGAAGTTTCATTAGGTCCCATTTGTTTATTTTTGTTTTTATTTCCATTTCTCTAGGAGGTGGGTCAAAAAGGATCTTGCTGTGATTTATGTCATAGAGTGTCCTGCCTATGTTTTCCTCTAAGAGTTTTTTAGTGTCTGGCCTTACATTTAGGTCTTTAACCCATTCTGAGTTTATTTTTGTGTATGGTGTTAGGGAGTGTTCTAATTTCATTCTTTTACATGCAGCTGTCCAGGTTCCCCAGCACCACTTATTGAAGAGGCTGTCTTTCTTTTCTCCACTGTATATTCTTCCCTCCTTTATCAAAAATAAGGTGACCATATATGCGTGGGTTTATCTCTGGGCTTTCTATCTGAACAGGCATTTCGACTACCCTGCTAACTAACTAGTACTCCAAAGGAGTAGGCCACCTCACCTCCTCAGTGTGGGGTGGGGTTAAGGGCTTACTAAATGCTGCATCAAAGCAGAATGCTAGTCTTCTTCACTTTTGAAATTTAACTTATTCTTCTGGATGAAACTGATTAAAAACCATTCCTGATTCCTTTGGATAGAATTTTCTTAAAGCAACTACATTTAACCCCTCACCCCCCAAAATATTTAAGTCTAAATGCTCAAAGAAATTAGAAAAAAATAATAAAACATTTGTAAGCCACAGAAAACCTTTAACAATTTAGCCAGAAAATACATGCTCATGTCGTTTTCAGGAGTGGAGCTTAGTTTTTAATATACCTCATTTAATGAGATTTAAAGCTTCTTAAAAGATCTGTCACCCAAACTAGCAGCACCAAAAGCCATGAGGTCACTGACTCAGAGACAGCCCTGACTCAGCATATTGGAAGAGGTGATTTTTTAATGGAAAGTCACAGTGCATCGGGCATACGTTTTAATCATAATCTAAAAACTGGTTAAGATTTTAAACAGAACTTTACTTCACCATTTTCACGAATTCAAATCCAATTAAAGTACAGATGATTTAAAACCACCTTAGATACTGCTGCCTAAGGCCAACAGGACAAAAGTCTAATTTACCATATTGGTCTTTTGTAAAGTTTATCGTCAAAATCGACTTAAATTCTTCTAACTACTAATTCTTTGACAACAAAAATAGGCTCTCCGCAACTAAACAAGTAATTACTCTATTACTTTGGGAAGGATTTGTCAATAAACCGATAAAGGTTAGAGCATCATCTCTTTCAATATGTTTTAATTAACTTTCGAAGGGAAAACTATTAGTTTACCTTTAAAGCTTTCTGAATTGCAGCCTTCTTCAAGACATCAGGGTTAAATTCTAATGGGTTACTCTTTCAAGTTAGAAGAAAATGAATACACCAAGGGTTAATAAAACATGCAATGAGGAGTTTATGTTAAGGTTAATGACATGAAAATTTACGAAAACAACAACAAAAAATCTTTAAACAAAAACCACCAAGAATTAAACAAAGAAACAGTATAAATCATTTGTAAAAGTATTCTTATTGCCCAAGATTTTATCTTAGACTAAACCTTTATAAATATCAAAACATATTTCCTTACCTTCTATGATTATTGTTCTTTTACTCCCCCACCCCTCCTGTCTTTGGGATTTGAAAAATCCAAGAGTGAAACTTGAGGAAAGGGTTCTATTTACTATCCTTTGCTTGAACCCCTAAAATATCAACCATTATTAACCTAAAGGTTTTACCTAAAGTACAAATGAATGGGCCACAGACGCCCCAACTGCTCTCAAACCAAATCATATCCTATAACACCAAACCCTACTTTTCCTCCTTCTGAACTTTACCTTCTAGTGGAAAACCACAGCAGAGATGGGACCCGATCTATCTCGTCCCCCATTCTTTTCCAAGCACAAAATGCAGAGGCTGATTAGATCACCTCAAAAGTTCCTCCTCGCTTTAAAGTTCTATTATTACAGGTTTTATGTCCTACTTTTATTGATTTTTAAAAACTCATTACTTTCTTGCCCTTAAAAGGGCAAGACTGAGTTGTTTTGCAAGATCCTTTGAGGATTAACATTTAAGATGAAAAACTTGATCACTTCATCAAGTGATCACTTGATCACTTGAGTTGTAATTAACTTCAAATTGAATTCTATTCTTTATGAAGCAGCCTGAAACACCAGCCCCAGCAGATGCCCCTAGAGGGTGGGGCCGGGCTGGGAACTGCTGCCCTGAGCTGTGAGGACGGACCATCTGCGGGCATCAAGGAAACTCTCCTGTAGCTAACTTTGCAAGGATGTGACCTGTACTGTGCACATGTTATTCAAAGTGCATCAAGTGAAGTGAAACAAAGAGAGAAGCCATGGTGGGTGTCAGGGGTGCAAGAGGAGCCTGTGAGCATGGGCGTGGGAAGCTGCACTTGGTGAGGGCCCAGCGTGGCGCCTCCAGACATCACTGCACCGTCCACTCTTGGGCTGCTCACCGTAAGCGGGGGCAGTAACAGTAACCTGCACTTTTTTAAACTGAGAGCTAAAATCACTTTCACAGAGCACCTAGAAGCATCACACCCAAGGGTCTCCATGTTATACAGCCAACGTTTTTATGTATAAAGTGGACATTAGTGCAAACACCACTCCCCTCAGATAAACTCCATATACAGCACTATGAACTTACAAACTTAATGAAGTGGTAACAAATTCACTTTATACACGGATGGACCAGACAGGAGGGTGGAAAACGTGGGCTCTGGGTCACACAGCGGTGCTCAGATCCTGGCTCTGCGGCTTGCTAGTGGCAACCCTGGGTCTCTAATCTCAGTGCCTCATCTGAGAAAGGATCCTGCCAGCCTGAGACTCAATGAGTTGTGCACGCAGAGCCCTTGGAAAGTACTTGGGAAATGCATGTGGTCATGGAGGCCTCAGGGTCTGAAGCTGGCCTCCGGGGGTCAGAAATCACCCTCTCGTTCCTCTGGCCAAAAGGAGGAGGCCCGAGTGCTAAGGCCACAGGATAAAAAGGCCGTTCCCAGCTTGGGAGAAAGTCCTGCTGTGCTGAGGCTTCCAGACAGGACCACTGGTGGAAATGCACTGGTGAGGCTGAACATGAAGAGAGTTTTGAGCAGCAAAAGGTAAGAGAGCGACGGGCTGGCAGCAGCCCAAAACCTCTACTGGAAATAGCAACAGGCTCAGCCTTTAGGGACAACTGACAACTGATCTCACTTCACACTGACAATCAAAGGGGAGAAAAGTGATCAATCTATTCGAATTTATTTTGTAGGACATTTTGTTGATTCCTACACCTGAATTCATCAAGCAGAGCATGTGGTTTTGGTAATGTGGGAGGAAAGTTAGTTTGGATAACCCAGCCACGTCTTAGCTAAATATTACAAAGCAATTTAAAAAATCCTGACACAAGTTCAGAAATATTTCCTTTAAAAGAAGCAGTTACAGAAAACAGTAACTCATGCAGCTGAGCAAGACTGTCATTTACAGCAGCTTACAACACAGATTTCCACTAGGAAACACCTGGAAATGACAGAAAACAGCTGCTGATATGCATGACTGCCCTCATTCTGACCTCCCAGCAGGTGGGCAGGGGATGTGAGGAGACGCAACAGCAGCCCACCCACTCTTCAGGGACTTGACTGTCCTCACCTATAAAATGGGTCAAAAATGCCTATTCTTTCAGTTTTGCTCTCCCCCTTCTTTTTTATTTTTTAAATAAGAATAAACTGAGAATGCATGCGGAAATAGAAATAACAAATTAAAATGAAACAAATGAACTTTAAGAATCTCACTAGTTATTGAATTAAATCAATAATTAGTTTCTAGACTAATGACTAAGCCATCGGTGGCTTTCTCTGACCCCAAAGCAAGTGAAAATAACTGCTAAAAGGACCAAGAAGAGTGCCAGGAATCAAGGCACCAGAGCAAGGCCTCAGGGAAACATATGAGATGAAAATCAGCTTCCCAGATAAAGGTAGAAATGCTCAATTATCCACCCCAGGAAATTCTTTAAGTTCCTTAAAAGAAGTGAATCATAAACTCAACATGTTTTTGCACCCTAGGAGCTCTGGTTAAATGGGGAGGGAGAAGGCGCGTTTTCAGAGCAGCAGTGAGTTTCTGTCTTCACTGACTGTCCCCAAGGCCACGGGGGACTTCGTGGAAAGCCAAGCTCTGACACTTCTGTGTTTGGTCAGGAGGAGAAAGTAGATTTAAGGAAGTTTTTTGAAAGCTTGCAAAGAAATATTTACATCTCACATTGAGATGAACCATAAGAAAATCCATTTTAATCATTATGGCTTCACTACTTTTTCCTCAGATGATTTTTTTTTTTTTAATTTTTTAAGGGCCAGGAGCAGCGTCAGAGCCCAAGGCTCCTCCATGGCTCATGGGGTTTGTCCACCTCGGTATCAGATGCAGTCACCAACATTAGTTACAGCAGTGTTACATTTCACAAAACAAGCACGAAAGAAACATGCCCAGTAACTGAAATCATGCAAGAAACTGAAAAAGCATGCACATCATTCCACCACTGAGCAGATGGCATTGAAGTTCCAGTCCACATTCTAGCAGTCTCCACCAAACAGAAGGAAGGAAGAACACTGAGAACTCACAAATAGTGCTCTACAGACTGAGGCAGTATTTTCACAAAACACTAGTCCCGACGCTCGCCTCTCTTTTAAGTAGCCACACCCAAAGTTTCCCTCGTAGATACTCTTGGGAAAATGGAAATGGGAGAAGAAAGCAAAGAATGGTGGATTGTGGTCAATGAAGGCACAAGAGCACTAATAACCAGGATGCAACAGGCAGAGTCAAAGAATCACGCAGAAACGCAGGAGACGGCACGCACTCCCGTGGAGACAGGCCCAACCGGGCAGCGGTTTTGTAAATATCCTTTGCCTTTGACGGCCAGAGCATACCTTCATGCACAAAGTGCCCTTTTAACAGAAGGTTGTACAATCACTTTTCTTTCTGTCTTTTGCTTACATGACGTTATTCAATTTTAATTTAATGTGACAAAACACACAGTTCTAAAGAGAGGCCAATTCCCCACCACTTTGCTCTATATCCTAAAATACATAACAAATTCACTTCCATCAGGCATTATGAAAGACTTTAAAACATTATTGTGGTTAAAAGCAAAAAGTTCTACCGTACAAGTAATTCTGCAGAAAGGTTAAACCTTCACTGAAAGAAAGAGTACAATTATATACATTTATACACACAATTGTTACATCTTCCCAATATGAAAAAAATACATGATCAGATTTTAATCGTTAAAAACTTTAAATAAAACATAGAGATGCCCAAAATACATTGACTCTGCTTGTGAACAAAGCCCAAGTAATGCACAATTTTAAACCCTTGAGAGGTGCTAAACAGAATCAGGGTGTGCATTTCACGAGGTAAAGGAACAGCATGGTGCGATCACAGTGAGGTGAGATGCCCAGACGTCCACCGGCACCAAGGACACACCCTGGGGGACTGTCTAAAGGTGCACTTGGGTGACCTGGAACCAGTATCATTTCAGGAGGAAACACCTTTCACCTGGAGGTAGTTGTCTTTCTTTCAACAAAACTGGCCTCCAACAGTGAAATGGAACAAGGAAGGCCATCTATTGAACAAGTGAATAGGCACTCAAAACACATTATCAGGGCTTCCCTGGTGGCGCAGTGGTTGAGAGTCCGCCTGCCGATGCAGGGGACATGGGTTCGTGCTCCGGCCTGGGAAGATCCCACATGCCGCGGAGCGGCTGGGCCCATGAGCCATGGCCGCTGGGCCCGCGCGTCCGGAGCCTGTGCTCCGCAACGGGAGAGGCCACAACAGTGAGAGGCCCGCGTACCACAAAACAAAAACAAAAACAAGCAAAAAAAAACATTATCAAAACGATAAACACTGATCACGAGCACACTAGCCTCATTGTGGAGGCGAGCATCACACCAGGGCTTGATCAACCCTTCTCCACGCTTCTAGTCGTTGTCTATAAAAACTGTTCTCTACAGTTTTTCTAAGAGTGAAATGACTCTGACGCCCACGAGGAGAGGCACTGCTCTGGGCCAGAAGCCATGTGTGCAGGGGATCACCCAACGCTGCCCCGTCACCCTGCTGTGCTACTTCCAGGATGATGCCAAAGGGATATAATTTTCATCTTTAGGCACTACATTTTAATAATTAGTGATTCTCTACAGAAAATCTTCTTCTCTAACTACTAGGTGTATTCTTTTCCTATGTACTGGAGATTTCTTCTTAAAACATGTAAGATAATTCTGACCATCCTGGATAAACCAATAAGATGTAAACATAAAATTACACTCATGGAGGAAATGCACACGTATCCGTCTCCACTGCTGCTCTCTTGGACTGGAGTGAAGTGAAAACACAGCAACAAGAATGGGGACACGGCGTGGGCGCGGCTGAACACAGCAGGATCCACTGCCAGGAAACGAGCACCCAGTGGGCTCTCTCGGAGGCACCTACCGGGAGGTTCCTGGCTGAGTCCAAGTACAAGACGAGCAGCGAGGAGGACAGCCCGTCATTGGCTTGATCTTTGTCAGCTCTGATGTCTGTCAGCACCTACAAGGAAAGGAAAAAGCTTCAGTAGGTGGGTTTCCAAGGTTCCTGACTATTTCTTCCTGATTATGTCTATAATCCTCAAGAAAATAAGAAAAGTGGAGAAATAAGCATCTGATATATGCAATACAGAGAGAATGAACATAAGATTCTATTCAGATCAATCAAACGAAGCACTCGGGTCACCTGTGGCTCTTCAAATCCCTATACAATAATCAAGCACAAAATTTAAAGATCTCATAAAACAGGTGAGAATGACCTGTAAAATTCCATTATCTCTAATTTATCCCTGGTACTACTGTAGTGATTTACAGCACAGGAGTCAAAATGATTGCTGTATTTTTTTTAAGTGAGCAGCAGCACAGTTTAAAGGTACTAATCTTAGCGATCAGGAGTGCAGGCTGTCATGGGACCCCATCCAGCACCTTCTCAAGGTTTGAAGCGTCTGGCATGAGCGTGAGCCACTCCAGTTTCAAGTGCAGCTTTCCTCTGAGGACCTCGTCCAGGGTGAACCACTGCAGAGAAAGCAAGACAGTTCAGCCAAAGTCCTCCTGGATCACACACGCAAACTGAACAGTCTCCACAAACGCAGAAGGCCTGAGTCCTGCCACCTTTAGCTCCAGGCCTGAGAACCAGCTGCTGGCCCCAGACACCGACAGCAGTGGCCGCTTTGCGTGTCTTAACTCACTGACTCCCAATTCCACCCCCGATTCACACGCAAGGACTCAAATGTCCTCTTATACCACCCAACACTGTCAGGCTTTTACGTATGGACTTCCATAGAATTTATGGGCCAAGAGAGAATATAACATTGATCCCAAGTCTGAATTTCAATATCAGACACATTAACAGGTCTGTTTTTCCTCATCACTATATACTAATAATTAGTATACACTTGTTTCAGCTTAAAAGCCACAGAGCAATTAATCGAGGATGGTCCCCAAACACTCAGTATTAAGAAGAGACTGCCCCGAGTGCAGGGCTTTGTCTGCTCTGCCCGTCACTGCACACAGCACCTGGCACACAACATGATAACCTGCAGATACCTGTTGAGTGTGTGCTGGCGTGCATGGGAAGGGAAACATGTTACTTTGAAAGCAGATCTCAGCAGTGATTTGGTTAATTACACTTTACTTATCCAAATCTTACCCATCTTTTAGAAGCCACCACAAACTTCCTTTTTTATCCTTTTTATTCTGATAGCAATATCTTGCTTGAAGTACGTCTGCTGCTGTCAATTCACACTGTATTTGTGGGTATCTTTCATGGGACAATTTCTCACCAACGGCACTGTGCCAGCTCTGCTGTGAACTCCAACTATCTTTAAAATGCCTGTTATTGGGGAGTTTCTCCCAGATTCTGCCCTGACTCCGAAGGAGAGCGTGCCTGCCTGAAACAAAGTTGGTGTGTGTTTGGATCCTCAGGAATTTCGAGTGTCTGGTAGGTGCTGACTTCTTTTCACTTTGCTGTTACTAGAAGGCCTAAGTCCTCAACGTCTGTGAGCGGATGTTAAGTTCTCAGACCATCAGGTGGCGGTGGCAGCAGGTGCTCTGTCAACACTCATGAAATAGAACAATACTCAAAGGAAACTTACTTCATCTAAAAGGCGCTCCTTTTCAACTTCAATAAGATCAATCATAAGACTATAGAAATAACAATACAACAACTTTAGAACATAGAAACACACTTCTTACAACTGAAATAACCTTAAGCATTAGTCTATGAAAAGGTACTCCAGAAATGCAACAAAATGCTAGTTTGTCAAGAAACAGGCTTCTTCCAAAAGCTTCCCCAAGCTTCCACCCACGAGAGTGAAGCGAGGTAGGGAAGAGCGGGGAGGTAGGAACACTCGGCGAGGCACAGCTGCGGTCAGAGCTGGGAGGGCTGGTCTTGCTCACACGCACCCCAAATGTGCAGGCATATTCCGCCCTGGGCCTGGCGTGCCCTCCGAGCTGCTGCCCATCGCGCCGGCTCAGCCACCTGCGTGCTCAGTTAGGCCTTGACTGCCTCCCCAGACTCGCTCCTCAGCTCTGACCAGCGTCTCTGTGGCGGCAGAGGCCTCTGCCTCACGCTCGGCATGTCCCCGACAGCCCGTTCCATTTCCCCCAATAATCCTGCACTGCTGGGAGCATGCAGCTGGCCCCCCGAGCCAGAGGCGACCAGGACGGGACAGTGACACCCCCTTCTTCTGCAGCCACCCCTCCTCTCTGCCCCCAAGCTCTGCCCCAGGTCAGACCTGACATCTCTCTCCTGATCTATCCCAACAGCCTCCTGAAGGCCGGCCAGTCCCCAGTCTCAGTCCCTGATAACCTATCCTAACAGTGGCTTCACTGGAATGCAGGTCTGATCTGTTCACTGCCTTGCTTGAAATCTTTTGGTTGCTCCTCATTAAACTGTCTCATGAATGAATTCTGAGGTCACAGTCTAACACACAGCCGATTCTTGATGAAGCCAGACCTGTCCAATGTCATCTATCCTTATATCTTTTTTGCCACAAGAAATTCAGTTAAATAATAAAGATTAGGCTAAAGTGTGTTTTTTGGTATTTTTTTCAGCTGTACAGGTTGTTCAATTTAAGCAAACAGGTCAATATTTGCTTTTCCAGTATATAGGCACAATATAAATTACTATCTACTCCCCGCCCCCATAACCCAATAACAAATCAAAAGTTAAAAAACCTGTTTCTATAACCTAGCGCACACCTGCCTGCGTGGTGTAAAGGCTGGAGAGCTGGGCTGGATTGGGGGCCATGCCTGGCTGCTGAGCACTTAAAATGGGGCAGCACAACTAAGAAAATGAATTTTAAATTTTGCTTAACTTTAATCAATTTAATTTAAATAGCAACATGTGGCTGCTATGATGGACACAGATCTAGCAGCTTTCCTTTTCTTACTCAAATGTGAATGTTTTAGGAACAAAACGTGTTTTAAGAAATCTAAGGTGAAGCAACGCTACATCTAAGAGCCATTTTAACATACACATAACATGTACATAATCCTGTTTTTGAAGTTATATTACATGTTTAACAGTGATTATCAAAGAAAAAGAGTCTACGCTCTCCTCAGTCACGAAGGATTTACCTTCCAAGGAAGTCGTCCTTGTCTGGGTCTTCGTCAAAGAGCTCGATCTCTAATTCTTGTCCGGGATGTTCATAGACCAGAGCCTGAAAGGTAGCAGCTCACAGTTATCTCACATTCACCAGTATCGTGTCTACTGAGTACGTGACTGCAGTCAGCGGCAGCAGCTGCACAGCACTGAGGTCCCTGCTGCCGGACCCGACACACTTCTGGATGGCAGGGTCCCTGCTAGGGACCTGTATCCACGCACACGGCCATGGGCCACTGCGCCTTGTCCCCAGTTACCGGGGGCCACAAGCTTGGATGTCTCTCCACTCCGGCAGCGGCCCCGGTCAGTGCTGGCTGCAGGGCGGCCGCAAGTGCTCCACTCACCACCACTCCAAGATTGAGAGATTTGGCAACAGACCAGGCTGGAAGGACGGGAAGCTGATGGGTATAAACTGCACCACTTCTCAGTTCTTTCCAAACCGCATACCTTGTGATGCAGCAATTCCACTCTGAGGAGCGTAATGTGGGGAAAACTTGGCCAAATGCAGAAAACCCACGACACTCATACAGCACTGGTTACAATGAACCCAAAAGCCCAGATCTCTCTGAGTAAAAACATGATGGTACCTGCTCAAGTGAACAGCTATATTTATTGACATGTAGAGATGTCCAGATGTATTAAATGAAAATTTACAAAACAGTAAATAAATCAACCTCATTTTGGAATACGTTTATGTGTATTAAGGGCTAATTATTTACTGTGATAGCTTGATGCGATTAAGGTTTAAAATTTTGTGTGAGGTAGGGATACAAGGTACAATAGTTTTAAAAATGGAAAATGAAAGCAAAGAGAATTGAGATTACCCTGAACTAAATAAGCACACCACGACCCCGCAGCAGGAGTGGAACAGGAATGTGGAGGGGGGACGGCAGCAGCACCCACTCTCTCACCTCGTACACCTCGTTCCACTTTGGACTGAGGTTCTCCTTGATGACCTTGCTTTGGAAGATTTGGTTGCCAACTCGAATCACTCCATAGGGGTCTGACTTCCCCTTGACAAGTCCCTTAAGGTAAGTGTCTTTTCCCTGAAGATCCTGAGCTTCAATAAAGTGTATCCTCAGGACACCCTGGAAAGAAGGAAGACAGAGCAGACTGCTCACTGGCTCACCCAACAGACACGGAGCGAAGCCTGTGCACAGGGAACAGGCAGCTCCTCCTCCCTGAGCAAAAAAGGCAAACACGTGATGCCAGGAGCAGCACAACGGGGTTCCAGGGGTCTGACCGGAGCCAGAGACAGGAGCGGCTAGCGTGAGCCACCACCTCTTGCAGACTTCTCCTGGGACGGGGGGTCCCAGAGCGGCACTGTGCCCCAGGGACCCCAGGAGCCCAACTTGGGCAGGGCAGGACGGCAGGAGGTCAGATGGCACAGGGCCTCATGGGTCACCAAACAGTCCTGTGTTTCGGTAGTTGTAACATTAGTGGTAACTGCAGTGATAACAAGTGATAACTGGCACTACAGGATGCACGAGACTGTTCCTAAGTCCTTGATATGCAATTACTTTCCAATTACTTCACTGAATTTTTACAAGAATCCTGTGAAATACTGTCATTAAACCTATTTTATGGATAGGAAACTGAAAATCTGAGATACATATGACTCACAGACTTAACATAGTTATCTTTTTCAAAAATGTTGTTTAATTGATAAAATTGAAAACCTCCACTCATATTTCTTTCAAGGCAAACACAACCTGTAAAGTTACCTTTAGGAGGGTAGCATTCTACACCACAAAACACTTTTAAAAAAATTACCAGGTAGTATTTCTGAACCAACCAGCATAGAAAGATAGACATCTTTACAGATAAATACGCTTTTAAAACCGTAACAAAACAAAATCCCTGGCTTATATTTTCACAGGTCTAAAGCTTAGATAATGTGGCAACAAACATATCTGAGCAGCAGGGAGGCTGGATCCAGGCAGGCTTAGATGGTCACCTGTACTCAGAGAATACAAAGCCTAATGGCCTAGGAGCACGGGGATTTCTATGTGGAAAGGCAGGCCTGCGTTTCCAGAGATAAGAATCCTAAGTTAAGGAAAGAAAGACATCCCTGTCTCATACATGGTGTCCCATCACATCTGCTGAATGCCAACAATGTAACTAATTTGGGCATGAATGACTGGGGTGTTGTTACTTGAAAAAATACAGGAATGCTCATGCACGTTTCTTGGTTTGTGCACTGTTACTGAGATCGAATTTACCTAGAAAGAGTAACGGGCAGTGGGGAAAGGCTGGCCACTTCTACTTCAGGAAACAAACACTGAACTAGGACCAGACACCATGTGACAGGCTGCCCACTCCACTTCTGGAGCCCAAGGTTGGTCAGACCAGACGGGTGGGGTGAAGCCCAGGGGGGAGAAGCCCTTGCTAACTGGGGCCAACCCTCCAGCTCTGTGCCCAGCAGAGGATTCCACGTCCTTGGCCAGCAGGCTCTCACAGTCTCAGACTGAGGTTGTTTAGTTTACTCAAACGAAGGTGACTCCAACATGTGTGACCCGCCTCTGTGTGCAGGGCATCACCCCAACTTACAGATGAAGAAACTGCAGCCCAGACACACCAAGGAATATGCTCCCAAAGTGAAGCTGCTGCCTAACCCCAGGGCTGTGACTCAGCCCCGGCCATGCCCTTCCATCCCACCCAGGGCAGCTGTAACACTAACGACGTGCCTGCCACATCCCTCACTGAATGACCCCCAAAGATGCCCACTTTGTCATATCTGAGAGGAGGCTTGTACAACGTTCCCAGCTTAGGCTGAACTGTTACACCTTGATACATACAAATAGGAAGTGCTTTCTGAGGCAATAAATAAGTTGTCATAGCTGTTCTTTACAACTTGCAATGGTATCTGCAGAATTAAATCCCTATGAGCAGCTCTGAGGTTCACAGCTGAGGTTTAAGAACTGTCCTCAAGTCTCTGAAAGTTTTCGGCCAGATGCCCCTTAGCCAATCTCCTAAGGAACGGGGCAGGACAGACCACCTTTACTGCATCAAGATCCATGTGGCAAGGCTGCTGTTAGGAGAAATACAAGAAGTCACAACACCCAAGTATGTGAAGAGTTCCTCCAGTCTGTCTGTAAGTGTTAATGAACGGATGCTTACCTTTGGTATAGGAAACCGCAACTGTGCTATTTGAACTTCGCTGACGAGAGGAACTGTGATTCGGTTGGGAAGCACCAGGTAGTTTGATATTATGTCCAAAATGATAGTATCTGACAAACCACTGTTAGGTGGGAGGTAAAAAACAAACAAACCAACTATCAGACACTCCAATACTAGTTATCTCCTGTTAACAGTGAACTTAGCATAGACATGACACAGTATCCCACTGACAGCGCGGAGCTAATCCCTCTAACACAGTATTTAAAGCCAGCAGTTTAATACTTTAGATGCAGTACTGCTACAGTGACGATTATGTGGGATTTATTCTGAGAACACAAGATACTATTCTGGCTATATTTCACAGCGTCCTAAATAACATCTCATACATTTCCACATAACTTTATCACTGATTTAATATTGAATAAGTAAGATACATTTAAATAAATCTTTAACTTTTAACATAAACTATTTCAAACACCCATAAAAGTACAGAGAATACCAAAACAAGCATCCATTTATTTACTCATTCCATGTTTATTACATTAAATTTATCTTTCCTGATATATATGCAGAGGTCCCAATGAAGTAAAGGAATTTACAGTTCATTCTTTCTTCACACTTTATTTGGGTACTGAATACTGTAATCAATTTGAAATACTATACACCACTGCACAGAGATCTCAGTAGCAAGAATAAAACTGTGGAGGCTAAAGAAACAAATGTACTTTCAATATGCTTTTTGTCTATTCTTTGGTGTAAATGTGAGAATCAAGCAACGTATGTGTGACAGCACTTTTGAAGGCATACGTAAACCAAGTTTCGTTGCTATAGAAGGACACCTTTAGCCAGAAGTGCAAAGTTTTAAAAGAACCTTACTTCTTGCCAGTACTTCTCAGATGTTAACATTATGAACACGCAGATGTAAAGTAACTACATACGGAACATCCACTGGGACACAGTGAAAGTGCAGTCATTCACTGAGTGATAACTGAGCCTCACTGCAGGTTGGGGGTCCAGATGCAAGGCCAAGATGCGGAACCGCAGCACAGCACCTTTCAGTCCGACATGGGCAGAAGACAAACCACACACCCACAGACAGCTCCACTCTACTGCTGAAGAGGCCAGTTACTCAGGCGCTAACAGTCCAGGGGGACTCAGAGGGTCTAAGCCGGCAGACACTGGATCAGTGTTCACCAAGCAGAGGATGAGGTGGCCCTTCAAAGCATTAAGACCAAGCATAGTCTGACTTCAGGCATTTCCCTGCAGAAGTACCAGTTTTGTTTATATTGAAAATCTGTTGAAACAGAAGACCCCTCACTGATGACATAAATGTTTCAAGAATCCCTTAGCTGCTATGGTGGTCGGCCACCGCCTCACCTCTCTCTAACGCCTACGGTGCCAGCACAAGGCTCAGCCAGGCAGCCCCACCCGCGGGCTCCCAAGTGGGGCTGGGCATCCCCTGAGCCGCTCTGCTCGTCCTGACTACGCTGGGGCTCAGCACACAGAACAGCTTCCACTGTGTCCCACCCTTCTGGTCCTTTGGAACCGACCCTGCTCATCACCCTACTTCTGTTTCTGTCACAACCTTCATCCCTTCAACACTCAGTTTATGGCTCTTCGTTGAAAAATGGTAAGGATAGCTAAAATTTGCAGTAAAGTAAAGTGATTCAGGCATCACTGCTACTTTATAATACCTTGGATTCTGTTTTGTAGTCAATGGATAGAGCATGTAGATGTTCATTTTGTAAAGCTTGGCGCAAGATTTCATTATGTTAGGTTCAAAGTTATTAAATATCTATTTTTATAAGACAAGGCTTGCCACAGCTGTGAGCTGTTTGACAAAATCTTTGAGAAACAGTAGCACAAGTTTTACGTTAAGTAGATATGTGTATATTGTATCACATAAAATTTACATAATTATGTATCATATATAAATATATATAATTTAAAAGGGGTATTTTACCATATCTCTTTTATACCATAGTCTCATTTTTGAATGGTGTGTGTCTATTTCCGTCTGTATTTCTAATATATATGAGTATATATTGATACTTTTAATGACAAATGCAATCCTATACATAATGAATATAGAAGAATAGGTTTTATACACTGTATATATGAAAACCCATATATAAAACAACAGCTGGAAGCTATTACTATACAAAAAGAGCCTGCCTTCATATAAAATCATGCAATGAAATGGCGCTGTATTTGTATGTGTGCGTCGTGCGAGTGTGCATGCATTTCTCCCTTCTAACTGAATGCTCTGGGACTGACCCCCGAGCTGTGCTGCAGGCTCATGCGGCAGAGCCCGCCCTCTGGCTCTCTACAGGGAGCCAGCACAACACGGCCTGCAGGGCAGATGCTCGACAAACCCCTCCCAGGACGCAGAGGGGAGGAAAGCAGACCACACTCTTCTACACTAAACGACAGCAGGGATTTGTCATTTTTGCCAGCTAAGCAGCACCCTCTCCTCCAACTTCTGGAACCCTTCCTTGGGAGGCCCCCCCCCCGCCCACCCCCCTTCACTGGAGCTTCTTCAAGCACTTCTCTGCCTCCTCTCAGCGTGGGCACGAGGCCCAACCTGATCCTCAGAACCAGGAGGGTCTGTCCAAGGACAGGCAGACAAACAGAAGTCAACCTTAGAACTTTTGCTGGAACTCGTGGGAAAAGGTTCTTTTTCCAACTGAGGTTGCTGAGCGTGTAGAATAGAAGCTAGAAGCTGCTACTTCACAGCAAGAGTCTGCCTGGCAACAAAGCCACACACAGAAAAGCAGAGTCAGGAGCCGTCCTGTGGACGCCAGCACCTGGCTGTGCCTGGCTACCCGACAGGGCCACAGGCCTCTCGGCGACACCAGCCAAGGGTGCAGGCTCCACTCTGCTCATGGCCACGGCTGGCACTCACAGCAGGCACTCCGTACCCATTTGTCGGATGAGTGAATAGACTGTCTCTAAAAAACAGTATTTGTTTACTCAATTATTTACTCACTTAATGAAGACCAGGTAAGTTGGGTTTGTTGTTGCAAGCAAGAATCCTAATCAACACTTTAACAAAACTCTTTTAAAGTTTTCCTTTCGTTCCAAAAATCTTTTAAAGATAACAGTATTTTTCTATATCCAATAAACCACAGCACCTAAAAAAGACTTTTATTGTTATGACTATGCCTCAGTGTAGTCTTAATTTTTCCCTTATAATGAAACAAAATAAAATTCTTTCTAATGGCCATTTCAAGGGCATAAACAAATACACGGGAAGAGAAAAAAACAGATTGAAACCAAGGTTTTCGTATTTCAATTTTTAAGCTATTTTAGGGGGAAAAAACCCCCACAGATTAGCAGTGTCCACTAGAAACATATGTAACTTTAACCAACAAGCAACACACTTTAACCTTCAAATGCAACAGTGAAACCAGCAGAAGCAGGCTTGGTGGCTGCAGCCTCAGACCTTCCTGCTCAGAGGTGGCTAACAGGTCTGCTGCCACCGCCTTCCACCTTGGAGGACAGATGGACTCTGTGATGCGACTGGGAAGCATCACTTCTCTCACAGGCGGGACAAGCCCTGAAGGGCTTCACATGCTCGTGGTGGAAGGTTGCCTCGTGTTTCAGACACTAGGGTACACTGAACAATGAGGGCCTCCCAGCCACACGATGCAGCTCCCAGGTCCAGGGCTGACACCTACCCCTCCAGGGAGGCACGGGTCAAGGCACATAACGCAGAAAGGGAAGGCGCAGCACAGCTCGAAAAGATTCCAGAAAGGGCTACTTTTGAAACGTCTAAGCTTGAAAACTTTTTAAAGTTCTCTTTAATTTTCTGGAATATTAAAACACCAAAACTGGAAAGACATCTCATGACTAATGAAAAGGCTCCATCTAGTCCTAACAGGGCTCTCATGCAGCTCTGACCCAGAGCCTCAGACGGGGCGACAACACCAGAGCCCAAGAGAGCCCACGCAGAAAGCATGGACCATGCTCGGAAGACACAGCTCTCAAACATCTGTGTCGTCTTCGCGACACTGGAAACGCACATGACACCACCAGCAAGCTACCCACAGGACGTGACAGAGTACTTACTTCAATCCGGGGATATCGAGAAGATTAGTCAGTCCTGTCCAATTAATTTCTAAAAGCTGTTTTAAAGAAAGGGCAAAAATATTAAGTATGCAAATTATTTCCAATTATCATATCAAATCATGCAGGTTTGTTTCTTTATAAATGAAATGGGTTTGGTACATAATACTGTCCTATACCTTGTTTTTCACTTTGTAAAACATCAAGGCCGTTGTCCCTTGTTGGTATAGATACCTTGCCTGTTCTTGTTTTGTTCTTTTGATGTCATAATTTACTCCAGTAAAATCATAACTATTTATATACCCATCCTCCTATTGACAAGCACTTATTTACAATTTCTCTTTTATTGTAAGTAATGAATCAGTGAATATCTTTGTACACACGTGTTGTTACATACACATGGAGACTAGCATTCAAAGAGTGGAAATTCTGGTCAAAGATACATGCTCATTTTTTATGTTGATAGATGCTACATAATTGCCCTAATATTGTACAAACTTACATTCCCATCAAAACTGTGTAAAATGTCCTTTCTTTACACCCTATTAAAAATATTTTACACCTATATTAAAAATCAGTCTATCCAGCAGTTAAAGAATGGTACTTTATCACTGCTTCAGTCTGCATATTCCTATATTAGTGGGACACGTTCCATTCATTCATTCAACATCTGTATTTTATTGCTCATTTTTCTAGTGGGTATTTATCTTAGAATAATTCCTATATAGTTGGCTGAGATTCTATTAAACAGATGTGGACAGGTAAAAAGTACTGACTGGAAACACTGCTTTTCCTGTCAAGATGGATACTGCACATAATGAAATTACTTGTGCTTTATATTGTAGAAGATACTAAGTGAAACTGCATGACCTCTATTACCCATATAGCTGGAGTGACAAAGCTGGGGAGTAGGTGGTTATAAATATGAACTGGAAGGGTCAAGATTCTTTCGGACAGAGCAAAACTCAAAAGCAACAACTTTAATAAAGTCCTGAAACACTAACCTCCCTAGGACTCCCTATAGCACCCTGACTATGATCTCTAAACGCGTTTTCCACTAAAAGGAACAGGGGATTTTGAAGAAATGGCTGATTCCAGGTCTGGGACAAAAACTGTTAACGTGAGCCTGGGGCATCCTGCTGAATCAGAAGTAAAGAAGCACTCAAAGGCCCTCCCAAAGGGCGGTCATCTGGAAGGGAATATAACCAGATTACAAACTCTCAGGTGACAGAGGGCCTGCTTGCAGGACCCTGGTCAAAATGATAAGATATACCTGAATGCTACCCAAATTCTGAGAAACAAAATGCCTGGGAGGCAGGGGCAGAATTCATGGAAGGACAGACTCAGGTGAGTTTGAAAAGAAGAGATCTGAATGCAAGAAAGAAGGCCCCAGGGGAAGGGCCTCCACGTTCAAGGCCCTGAAGGGGGAGCTGGCCTGTCCATGAACACAGGGAGGCCAGGGGACAGAAGAGCCAAGCTGAGGGGGTGGGAGAGGAGTGTGAGTGACCGTGTGTGGGAGGACGAGAGTGAGTGTGTGAGCAGGTGGACAGGTGTGAGGGCGGGGGCACAGAGGGGAGCCACCGGGAGGGGCAGATCCAGGCAGCGCTTTGGGAAAGCAACTAAAATTAGTGCCTCCCCCACCAAGTCTGGATGACTGGGATCTCCTTTCGGGAAACTGAAGAATCAGTGAGATGTGCTTCCAAAGGACAGGAAATCAGCTCTTTGGGCTGCCAAGGAACAGTGAGTAAGGTGGGCACGTTGCAACTGGAACCCCACCAGCGCAGCATGTGTTCACGGGAACCTCAGCCAGCTGCCCTCTGCCCTCCGTGCCATCTGAGGGTTGCAGAAGAGCCGGCAACAGCCACTGCTCATTTCAGCACTGACGACACGCCAGGCGTCCTACACGGGAAGTCTGTTAAAAACAGACTGGTGGAGACTTCCCTGGTGGTCCAGTGGTTAAGAATCCGTCTTCCAATGCAGGGGACGCGGGTTCGATCCCTGGCCAGGGAACTAAGATCCCGCATGCAGCGGAGCAACTAAGCCTGCGCACCACAACTACTGAGCACGCGCGGCACAAGGAAGAGCCCACGTACCGCAACTAAGACCAGATGCAGCCAAAAAGAAAATAAATATTTAAAAACAAAACAAAACAGACTGGTGGCTCCACCCTTCTCCAGAGTTTCTGAATTTTCTCATTTGAGCTGGTGGTAAAGGTCACGAATATTTTTCTTATGTCTTAAAGCTCCTAGGACTTCCAGCTTTCACTTGGGATGTAGAAAACTGGGAAGAGCATCACTCCTGGATGCATGGAGAGCTGAGGCGACAGGGCCATCCCAGGGCAGGAGAGCCAGAGTAAACCCTGTGAAATCCACAGAAATAGGGCAGGCCCGGGAGAGCACAGCTGCTGCAGGAAAGGCAGAAGCCCTGCCTTCGAGAGGCGAGGGCCCACAGCCACTCAGAGGACAGGAACAGAATTCACCCTCTATGCCTTGACCACAGAGATCCAGTATTGCTGGGGGCGGGGGCGACACTCTCTCCTGCACAAGACCCTCCAAAGACAGAGTCACAGGGAGGGGGCAGGGCCACTGAAAGAGCACCGCAACAATGGTGGTGGGGTAAGACGCTCCAAAATGATGAAAGATATCAAACCCCAGATGCAAGAAATGCAGAGAACACCTGGCGGGATAAACAGCCGCAAACTCCCCAGTGGCTTAATGTGTGGCCTAAGACTGGGCCTCTTCCGTCCAGTGGGCTCCATGGACCTGCCAGCCCAGCCCTGCCTCGCCCCTCATGGCCGCCTCCCATGCGGGGCTGCAGGAATCGGTTTCGGGAAGCCTCATTCGAATGCTGCAACCTTCCTATTCCTGGTCTCGGGGTTAAGGGTCTGTATCTGATGCAGCTGGAATAGGGCAGGCAAGGACGAAGGGGAGACCGGGAGGCTCACTCCTGGGGGCACTGGCAGCCAGTGTTTCTGGCCTGTGGCCTGAAGGACCAGAGGAGGCTGGTCTCAGGGTGAGAGAAGAACGAAGCTGAGGCAGAACAGGCACAAGAGACAGTGGCCACGGCGTCCACATTCCGTCCTGTTCCTGACTCCCAACTGCAGCCCCTACATGGGTTTCATAAGACATCGATATATGCTCATTTTGTTTTTAAATAAAGCCTCCCCTTCTCCCCCTTCCTTTGCTTAAGGTACCTCAATTGCTGGAGTCCTAGCTAGTAGGATTCAATTTCTTTTCACAATCACTCTAAAAGGAAGATGTTATTTACATTTTATAGATGAAGAAGCTCAATCTGTGGACCAAAGCCTCAGCAGGCATGTCCTTTGCTAGCTGGGAGGACCCCTTTAGGATAAACACATTCAGAGTGAGCCCCAGACCATCTCCTGGAGAAGTTCTAGAAAGGACCTCCTGACTCAGTCTACTCTAATCCATACTCCTGAGACAAACCTAAAAATGACCTAAGGATTGTGAAACACCCTTAAGAGTGTATGCCAGAGGCAATCCCAACAACTGCAAAGTTAGCATGAGTAGGTGGCCGCCACTTCCCTGGGACACGTCCAAGGGCAGAGAGTAGGTCACGCCCTGGCTCGTACCAGAACCTTAACCCAAGCTTCTGTGCTTACCAGTGCTCGGCCTCTGCTGCCAGGACCCCACCAGAATGCTAACCCTACGTACAGGAAAATATTTAATTTCTGAAACATCTGAAGACTCACTATGTGCCAGGTGCTATACCAAGTGTTTTACATTTAATCGTCACCTCTAATCTTTTGAGGGAGGTATAAGTGTACTCCCCATGTTACCGATGGGGAGACTGAGGCTTACAGAAATTAAACACAGTTGGGCCTCTGTATCTGAGGGTTCCAGTTCCGTCTCCTCAGATTCAACCAAATACGGATCAAAAGTATTCAGAAAGAAAAAATTCCAGAAGTTCCAAAAAGCAAAGCTTGAATCTGCTGCACTAGGGCAACTATTTACATTGGACTTTCAACTATTTACACAGAATTTACACCGTACTAGGTGTTATAAGTGATCTAGAGATGATTTAAAGGATACGAGAGGATGTGCGTAGGTTATGTACAAATGCTACGCCATTTAATAAGGAACTTGAGCGCCCACGGATTTCGGTCCATGGGAGTCCGGGAACCAATCCCCTGTGGATACTGGGAGAAGATGGTAGTTTGCTCAAAGCATGCAGTTCAAAGGAGAGAAAGAACCAGGAGCGGAAAGTGAGGCTGTGTGGCGCTCACATCTGTCACTTAACCTGAAATAAGGTGACAGTACATCCGCCCTGCCCACACTGTGCTCAACGAAGTCAGCACTGCAGACACCTGTGGTTATTTTTTTAAAAACAAGTAGCACATTATCAGAACTAATCTAAACAAATCAACGAGCAAAAAAACGTGCGAAAGTTTCATATTCTTCTGAAGGTTGCCATGCTTCTAAATCATCTGAATAGTCAAACCCCCAAATCTTTCTGTTTTTCACTGGGGTGAGGAAGGACTTGGCAGCCAGCAGGGAATTCTGCTCTTACATTTTCCAGATGAAAGCGACTGAAAAAGTCCCTTTTCTCTGAAGCCTGTGCTTGGTGGCTGTAATTCACCATATAAGGATACAAGTGATCCTCAACCTTTCACAGCCTCATCCTGCTTTTCTGAGTACTAAAATTTCATTTGGAAATTAATATTATAATGTTATTTTTTTTTTTTTTTTTTACTTTTTGGCTGCACGGCTTGTGGGATCCTAGTTCCCTGACCAGGGACTGAACCTGGGTCCTGCAGTGGAAGCACAGAGTCTGAACCACTGGACCACCAGGGAAGTCCCTACAATGTTATTTTTAAACTAAGTATACCTAAGAAAGATCCAATGAAGAATATTACAAAGTTTTGAGGAAGATTTAAAGATTTGGATTTTGTCACATTCTGAGCTGAATAAAGAACTCTTTCTTTAAACTGTTAAAAATTCCCTGCAAACTAAAAATACTTATCAACTTGCTAAGGATTAGTTTTTTATATTCATTAATGAAGGAATTTTTTAAAACGTACTGTCTTTTCAATAACTTGTATGTGGGGGAAAAAAAACCCATGAATGTTGAATCTTTTACGGATTTCTTCATTTCTCAAAATTTTAATAAATTAAAATTTAACACAGATGTTCCTTAATAGCTTTTGAATTTTACCATGCTTTGTGTCGTTAAGATACGTTCAAAATAAGCCAATTATTTAAGCAATAAAAAGCAAATGAGAATAATAATTTTAGTGGTAACAAAAAGTGATGACACTTACTTCTTATGTTTTTATGCAGAAAAGCACCACTTGTTTGGTCTAGATAAACTTGTATTTTAAAAACCAGCAACAATAATTTGTATTAAGTTATTTGAATCAAAGTATACAAATGAATATCCCCATTTTACACTACACATGATGTTAATGACACCTCCAGAAAGGACTCATTGCAGGTTACAAAAATGGCACACCGTGAAGAGGTATCTGAGAAACAGATCCATTCATTCATCAGACATTTACTGAACTGTATGGAGACAGATATGGCTGTGCCTTCCAAAGATTAAGAAGTGTGCTGCGAGGCACAGGGACAAGGAGGGAACCTGGCTGCCCATGTCCTGGGAAGGGCAGCATTCTGGGAGAGGAGAGAGAGAGAGAAGGAGGGAGGTGGAAGGGACGATGGGGGAGGGGTGGGGGTGGTACTACCACTGCACTGGACAGATGACCGTCTGCGAGTGAGAGCCGGCCCCTGGCGGGTCAGTCTGCCGGGGCAAGACCCCTAGCAGTGAAGTCCACTGAGGACAGAGCCAAGGCAGAAAGCCAAGCAGAGGCTGCAGAAGCCCAGATGAGGAGCCTTGTAGGAATGGAGCCACCCAGGTGAGGATGGACAGTCTCAGTAAGGGGAGGGGCCTCGGTGAGGAGATACGGTCTCAGTGAGGGAGAGTCTAGGTAGGTGACATGTTTGTTGTCTTACTTTTGTGGCTAATAATAAGTATTGACGACTTATAACAAAAATGGAATGTGAAATAATAATATCATGGTTTATCCAAATGTTAAAATATAATTTAGTTAAAATTAATCTTTGTGACTCTTAAAAACACAGCATACTGTGTGCTTCATTCAACACACCCCAAGAGGCAGGCAATGGCGGGGTGGGGGACGGCTGCAGGGAGACTTAGGGGGAGTATGAGGATAGCAACTCTGCCAGACCAGGGCAGGTCCAGGTGCAGATCCCCAAACTTACTAGTTTTGTGACTTGGACAAATCAGACTCTCAGGTCCTGGTCAGCAAAAGTATTTAGTGTTAGTTATTTAACTACAGAGCTATGAGGATTGAATGAGTAAATATATATCATACTCAGTGATAGGTGCTGAATGTTAGTTACAACCTATACTTTCTAAGGTCTGCTTTCAAATTTTCTGCAGCAAACATTTTTATAATGAGGAAAAAAGTTGTCCATCAAGAGATGTGAAGCCCTCTGTTAAGGCACAAAGAGATGAAAGCACGCAGGATTCATGCATCAAAGGGAATAAAGTGAGTTAAGCTCTTTTTCTCCACTCTGTCTATTCTTTGATATGTACACATTCTTGTCAGTGAATGGCAAGAAAAGAATGAAATAAACATTGACTTACTGGCTTCCTAAGGAAGAAGATAGACAAAGCTCCCACTAAGGGCATGTCTCCAATCAGTGGTTCCAGGATCACCCGCATTGTACCATGAATCTAAATTCAAATGGGAAACCGAAACGTTAACAGAAAACAATTCCACAGGCCATTACAGACGCAAGAAGGAGGATGCAGGATCCTCTCAGTGATTCCTGAGCATCTGACTTCAGGTTTCTCTCAAGGTATAACCTATAAACAAAAACTTAACTTCAAAGAAATTCTGAGTTAATAAAAACTTCATGATTTTCTTTCTGAATAGAGCACAGAGAATTTGAGAAGACTATGAAACTTAAAAAAACCTTACCTGTATACTTTGCACACCAGCTCTACAAAAATATCGCTTGATCTCCAAATCAATCTCACAATTTCCTACAAAACTAGCAAAGAAAAAGTTCTGTATTACATTCTCTTAATCACCACAGACCTGCAAGCTATATAATCTGAATACAATGATAGTAAAGCAGCCAGAACTAGACTGTAGGCAAAGCTGTAACCTGCAGCCTGGCCGTGCCAGAGTGTTCTAGTGCCTGCGTTGGAGCGGTCACTGACACCAGTCAGGACCACCGCATGGGTGGCGAGGCAGGCAGCCTGGCCAGAGGCCTTGGTATAAATGTCACTTCTCAAAGTGCAGCTTCTGGAGCAGTCTCTTGACGGAGTGTAGTTTTCATTTGTTTTATAAACAACTATGCTTGTTTAAAACATAAAAAATGCTGAGATTATGTTTCACCACAAATAAACGCTGCGCCCAAGCTCCCCGTACTGAGGAAATTAGCAGTGCTCAGGGCCCTCTGATGTCAAAGGTTAAAGACATTACATCCATCTGAGGTATCAATTTTACTCAACGATTAAGTCTTTTCAATCATTAATGTGAAACAAACATGAATACAGCATGATGCTGAATGTAAGGCTTGCACCCATCTTTACTGTGAACATGGCACGTCCACTACATTTTGCGTGGGATCCGTATGATTTGACTCCCACCCTTGACTCTTGGACTCTTGGCTCCTGCGTGGGAGCGTAAGGGGGGGCAATTTGATAATCATGAGAGAGACTGTCTAAGCACATGAGCAAAATAGTGACAGAAGGCGTCTGGGATAAAAGTCTTCCAATATTCACAGTTCTGATGTAAAAGTCAATACCTGTAGGTTCTTTTGGTGAAGGGGGGACGTACAGTCAAGCACACATTTTGGCAGAAAGTTGCTGCTAGCCACGAGGGGCAGACATCTGAGTTAATGACAGCAGTGCTTTTCTAGCTATGAGAAGATGCAAGAAATTGGGCTCATAACATCGTCTCCTGAATATATCTATCTGAAGACCTGTTCTGCCAGTTTTCCCAGAGCACAGAGGGCCTCATTTCTGATCTCTGCCCTGAACTCCTTTCAGGGTGTGTGGAAGGTCAGCAACTGCAGTGGCTGGCGGCCTCACCCTTGTAGAGGCAGATGGTGAGCGACAGGTTTTCGCCCACACACACCAAGACTTGATCATTTATTTCCTCATAGCTCTCAATTACTCCTTCCCCAACTCCACGGCCAGTAACCTAGTTACGGTCCTTATCTGGAACACAGGAAAAAGCAGAATGCAGACTTCTTAGAGACCTAAACATCTGAGCTGCGTAACGTGCGTACGCCATCACGTCTGCTGAAGCCACAAAAGCCAGGCTGCATCTTCAAAATGGCGTCCGGTAGCAGATTCACTCCGATGTTTATTTAATGAACGTGTATGAAGTGCTCCCTCAGCGCTGGAACAAGAGAACAAGGCTCCCACGCTCCTGAAGCTCACCCTCGGCCTAGTGGACAGCCCTCCCAGGGTGCGGCTGACCCGAAGACACACGCGGGGCTTCCTCTTCTACTGCACTGACAGCAGCAGCGTTTGCAGTAGTTCCAAATATGTTAAAGACGCAGAGTTTTCCGTATCACATCATCACAACATTCTATGCTCCCTTCTAGAATAAAGGTAATTGGTACTGACTGTTCATTTACTATATTAATATACTTCAGAAACTCAAAGATGACATGATAAAATAAAATGATCCTTAGCCAAAACAACAAACCAAACCCTGCGGAGCCGTGTGTCAGTCAGCAGCTCAGCAGCGGCCTGCACACAGCTGGGCCGGGGCCTCAGGGAAAGCCGGAATCTTGGCAGTCACTAAGACACCAAAAAAGAAAAAGAAAAAAACGCCCACGAACAGTGAAGACAAGAGCCAGAGAAAACCTCTCTACCATGCAGGCAAGGCACCTGGCAGACCCCTAAGTAATTTTTTTCCCAATTATTCTTTATTGTGGTAAAATATACATAAAATGACCGCCTCAACCATTTTTAAGTGCGCGGCTCAGTGGCATTAAGCACATTCAGATGATTGCGCAACCATCACCACCATCATCACTTCCAGATCTCTCTGCATCTTGCAAAACTGAAATTCTATACCCGTTAAACAGCAACTTCTGATCCTGCCTCCCCCAGCCCCCTGCAGCCTTCATCCTACTTTCTGTCTCTGTGAATGGGGGCCTCACATGAGTGGAATCAGACAGGATTTGTCTTTTCGTGACTATCCTATTTCGTTTAGCATAATGTCCTCAAGGTTCATCCCTGTTGTAGCAGGATGGACACTACACACTGCAGGATTTCCTTCTTTATAAAGGCTGAATGATACTCCACTGTATGTACATAACACACCTTGCTTACCCATTCAACAGTCAATGAACACCTGGGTTGCTTCCATGTTTTAGCTGCTATGAACACAAGTGCGCAAATACCTCTTTGAGACCTTGTTTTCAATTATTTTGGGTATGTACCCAGAAATGGAAGTGCTGGGTCGTACAGTAATTGTTTAATTTTTTGAGGAACAACTATTCTGTTTCCATAGCAACTGTACCTTTTACATTCCCGCCATCAGTGCACAGGGGTTCCAATTTCTGCACATCCTCACTAATCTGTTTTCTGATAGGTGCCATCCTGATGGGTGTGAGGCGGTATCTCACTGTAGTCTGGATTTGCTTCTCCCTGATTAACAGTGATGTTGAGCACCCTTTCGTGTGCCTGTGTCCACTTGTGTATCTTCTTTGCAGAAATGTCTATTCAAGTCCTTTGTTCATTTCTGAATCAGGTTATTTGTTTTTTTGTTGCTGTTGAGTTGTAGGAGTTCCTTATACATTCTGGATCTCAATCCCTTATCAGATATATGATTATATGGATTACACTGCTTCTACAGATTGCTTTTAGTGTTGACTTTTAACAATGTTAAGTCTTCCAAACCACAAACATGGGATGTATCCCTATGTATTTATGCCTTCTTTAATTTCTTACAGCAATGTTCTGTAGTTTTCATTGTACAAGTCTTCCACCTCCTTGGTTAAGTTAATTTCTAAGTATTTTATTCTTTCTGTTTCTATTGTAAATGAAATTGTTTTCTTAATTTCCTTTTTGGATTGCTCGTTGTTAGGGTACAGAATGCAACTGATTTTTTTTTTTTTTGCATTGATTTTGTATCCTTCTACTTTGCTAAATTCATTTACTAGTTCTAAAAGCTTTTTTTTGTGGAATCTTTCAGGTTTTCTACATAGATCATATTACCTGTGTACAAAGATAATTTTACTTTCTCCTTTCCAACTTGTATGCCATTCACTTCGTTTTCTTCATACCTAATTGCTCTAAAAGAACTTCCAGTACCATGTTGAACAGTAGTGGTGAAAGCAGGCATCCCTGTCTTGTTCCTGATCTCAGAGGAAAAGGTTTGTCTTTCACCACTGAGCATGCCGCTTGCTGGGAATATATGCCTTTTATTATGCTGAAGTAGTTTCTGTCTGTTTCTTGTTTAAGTGTTTTTATCATGAAAGTGTGTTGAATTTCACCAAATGCTTTTTCTGCATCAACTGAGATAATCATGCGGGTTTTTTTTTCCCCCTTCATTCTGTTAATGTGGGGCATTACACCGATCACTTTTCTTTGCTGAACCATCCTTGCATCCCAGGAATAAATCCCACTTGGTCACGGTGTATAATCCTTTTACTGTGTTGCTGAATTCAGTTTGCTAGCACTTTCTTGAGGATTGTGGCATCAGTGTTCACAAGGGATATGGGTCTGTCGTTTTCTTTTCTTGTAGTGCCTTTACTTTCTTTTATTTAACATGTTTTATGAATGATAGCAATTATATAGGCTGCCAGGAACTAAAACCAGAAAGTAAATAAATTTAGGTCTTCAACAAGAAGTTAGTCCAATTCCATCAAACAGCAGGTAAGAAATGTGCTCATTATAACCTCCACCTTATGGGTACAGCTAAGTGACATCACACATCATTAACTATGACATAAATACAAACTTACCTAATCTGAAGGTCCAAAATAATTTGCCTTTTGTCCACATTTTCAGTATACACCTTAACACCATTGATCCTGAGGGGCTGAAACAAGAACTGGCTTACTTAAAACGTAGGAAGGGTGAAAGAAAAACCAAGCCCTGTGACGTAGCAGAGCTGAGACAACGAGCTTCAGCATCAGGCCACAGGAGTGAAAACTCCTCTGCTTCACAATGTACTAGCTGTTTCACCTCCAGCAAGTTGTTAAACCTCTGTCCCTCAGCGCCCTCATCTGTAAAGCACGGTCGGGAGGGCAGCTCCACATGGGCAATAGCGAGGCTACAGGACACAGGACCATGCGGGTCGAGGAGCACGGCCTGGCACAGCAGGTGCTCAGTGGCCACAGACACAGCTCCGCTATGACCCTGCTTCGCTCCTTCCCAGGAGCCTTGGGCTCCAGATGACTTTGACCCTTTCCCTCTACTCCATCCTTACTAATTGTTTAAAATATAACTTCCTTTCATTTTTTCTTTATGTCAAAATTTCTTTATGTCATAATTTTCCATTTCTTAAGATTTTAATAAAAATGGGGCTTTTGAGTGAATCAAAAATACTAGCTATATTTTCAACACCTAATACAACACCTAATACATGCAACAAGGTCACAATCAAATGACTCTGTAAAAAGAAAAGGCAGACCTACAATAACTGCTATATTTCAACATCATTTCAAAACCTTTTTCCCATTAATTGATTTGAAACCCCTCCTAAGAAAGTTTTCAACATGACATTTGAGCATTAAAAACTCAAGCTGAAGAACTACCAGACCTCTGGAGTCTTACTGCTCACTCTGACAGTGTGAGTGTCCTGAAACCTTATTCCTCAACCAGCTGCAGGAGAAACTCTAAGTCTACACTTCCTACCGTCCCAGGTCCCAGGCTTTTCTGCTCGGGTTCTCCTGCCCCTCTCTTCTGTCCCTTCAATCAAACAGCCCGGGTCCTGTGTGCCCAAAAGAGGTCCATGCAGCCACGGTGACGCCGAGCTCCCCGACTGAACCCGCACTACTCTCTGCATTCCTGCCGTCTCCTTGACGATGATCTTACGCAGCATCAAACTGAAGCGCATGTGAACAGGGACGTAATTCTTCCTGAGACAAACCCAGCTGCAGCGAGAATTCCAGATCTGCGCAAGCATGAGCTTACCTAACTCTGGGAGACACAAACGCCAGCCAGAGGGAGACAGTGACTGTAGGGCTGGAGGAGAAGGGGCAGGCAGGGGAAGGACGCGCCTCAGAGACCTTACACGGCTGTCGAGGCCTAAGCTAGTCACCATCCGCCCTTCACAGTCACGTGCATTCTAGCTTGTAGCTGTGTCTTCCCACCTGTCGTGATCGTTTGAGGTGACTGAGGTAAAGTGAAAATTAAAGGTAGTGTCCCATGGTGGTCCTGTGCTGGCCCGGTGTGCTCAAACAAAAGAATGCCCACACCCCGACTTGCAGCGTGTTGCAGACCTCACAGCCAAGCGGGCAAACGGCCTGCACAACACAGCTTAGCAGGACACACACACCTGAGGCACAGCGGAAGAAAAGGAGCATTCTCTGCCCATAGAAAATAGGCCTTGATGGGGAAGGGTGACTGACAGCCTGGGGAGTGTGGGATGGGAACGTGTCTGGGGGCAGTGACATGGATGGGGGTCAGATGGTCCTCAGCCACATTCACTAACACCCCGACAGGCTGAAGCACAGATATCGGGACACAGGGCGTGGTGAGAGTGGGTTGTCGGGCTCTGCCCTGGTGTGTGAGTTTAAAGGACTACTGAACTCCAAAACAATGTTACCTTGAAACTAATGCTATGTTATGTGTCAATTACACCTCAACAGAAAAAATATTACCTTCAACTGTTGCTAATTATTGTAAACACTGACTTAAAAACATAAAAAAGGAAACTTGCCCTTAATGGTGGTCTTGAGGCTTCCTAGCAGTGTTGGAATTAGTGACTTTCTTTTGTATATAATATGATTCCAACAACAAAGCCTACCTTTCCCTTCCCCTGTGTCACTACCGCCACACCGCAAGCCCAGCACTGGAGCCTGAGCTGCTGTTGTAAACGCTGTGGTGGAGCGGGTACCTCCAGCTTTTGTCAGTCTCATCATCCTTAGTGAGTTTACACATCGAACTCCCTTTCCAGCAGGACAGATGGTAGAAAGCTGTACAAAGGTAATTCTAACAGAAGAACGTGGGGCAGAGACTCTCTGGGGCTGAGGGGACCTCCGACGGACCTGGACTGGCCGAGAGACCACAGTGAACGAACGAGGCGAGGCCCCAACAGAGGAGGAGAGGGCCCCATGGGAGGCAGACCTGGGGAAGGACCCGCACACACTGCCAACCTTCCGCAAAACAGCTTTCTCTAGAGACAGTCTCAGGTAGTTTACCATTCTTTTCAGTTGTGCACAGGTGAGAACACTTAAGAAGAAACAAACCTGCTGCCCCACGTCAACCCTCGTGAAGCTGAAGGTGCTGAGGTGGGTGTGTGCTCCCCGCACAGCCGGCTCTATGGTTTCTCGAAATAACTTCTCTATAAATTGGCAAATGAAAGGCCACATGTGTTTTACAGTCTGAAAAGGAGAAAGAGCTCAGGTTAAACAAGATGGTATAGTACTTAAATCATCATGGAAAATTATGCTCCTATAGTTTACCAGAATTTTTGAAAAGCAAAGGGGGGGGGCGTCCTTTTTGCTACGCACCTAAAATTTTTAAATGTATTACAACAGTAAACTATTGATTAACCAACCAATATGTTGCAGGAATTAGTTATTCTAGTTAAATATGCTGTTTAATCATATCAGCACATTTAATCATTGCTAAAAAGTCAGAAAATCCTGTGGTTTCAACTCACTGCTAAAAAACTTTCTAAAACTGTATCGTTCTCAACATTAATGAGTTTTCTTTAAGGATGGACTAACTTCTAGTGATTACTTTTTGGGTAATCATTATTCACATTAGTTTTTACTATATAACTCTAAGGATATATAAAACATAGAGATAAAAGAGATCTACTTCAAAGTATAATGATCTAAAAACATAACCTTTAAAAAAAAGATTATTATCTACCACTAGATTTCTTGGGAGTTATTTCCCTCTTCACAATAATGTTCCAAAATTTTCGCTTATGACTATCATAAAAGAGATCTGAGCAGTAGCTGATCAGAAAAGAAGACACAGGGCCAAACATCCAACTATGAATATATCATTAACTTCCTCATGTCAAAGAAATAGTCTGCACTGTTTAGAAAAGGAAAGTAATGTCTCAGTTATGACCGAGTTCTTTCGAGAGCAGAAGCCAACCCACTAAGTCCAAATGCGTTCACATATTGTCAGCGTCCAAATCCCCAAATATGGAAATATGGCATGTCACCATCTAATTCCCACTGATATCTGGTGTTCAGTATTCTTCTCTTACCTTATTTAGCCATTCTGCTCTTTCAGTGTCTGGAAAATGAACCTAAGAGAAAAACATACACACGACTTACAATCTCCTGACAACTCTAAGTAAAACGCCACACAGGCCATTTAGTATTCTTCCTGTATATCTACTGTTTGTAAAATGCTGTTTAAGCCCGCTGCTGGGAAGCCCTACACAGAACCACGCGGCCCTGGCTCTCCACACTCTAAGGACACTCTGAAGCCCTTGCCTACCTTGCCACTGGGCCGAGGGGCTCCTGGAGTGCACAGTCTCAAGCTCCTCCTTCGCCACCAGCATGGCCCCTGCCTGCAGCACCTAGGCTCAGAGCCTCAGAAGCCCACCTTTCCCTCCCCTTCTGGCCCAAAGGAGCCAGCACAAATCTTCCACGTTCGGCTCCTCTCCACACCGTCTCCCAGATGAGGATTAGAATTCTAATGGTTCTCCATGATGGGGCCTGTATACTGGAGAAAATAAGCACAGAGGTAGGAAAAAACCTACTTGGTGTTAAAACAACCCCTGCAGAAAAAGGCTAAAGCTGTTTTGGGCAGGGAGCTCTCCTCTGAGAAATGCTCCGTACTCCCCCACCCCTCGAAGAAAGAAGAACACGCTGGCCACACTAACATCCTGAAAACTGCAGTTCTGGCACAGCTGCACGATGCATCTCAGGCAGGTTTGTACCGGTGACTGGGACATGGTCTGGAACTGCCACACCTACCTTCCTAAGTAACACAGATACTGTAGCCAGTAAAAGACAAGCCCCACCCCATCCTCTGGCTGAGAGGAGCTGGTCAGGGAATATTACTGTGGGGTGGGCTGTCCCCAAGAAGATGCCTCTTTGAGGACCAACTCCACTCTCAGGCTTGGCCTCTAAGCACAAACCATGGAATGGGGCCGGAAGCAGCCAGGTCCAGGTTGGAGAGGCCACCGTCATCATGTCTGTTGTGGTCACACAGCTTCACGGAGAGGCCACAGCAGGTTCCACCTGCCCCACGTCCACGTGCCTGAGCAGACCTACTCCTTTACGCTGCAGGATGTGAAGCTTTTAATTTGCTTGAACCCGAGGGTGGGCTAGCATGACAAATAAGTTTTTCTAAATTAAGTTAGTTTGAATCCATCCTGGGACAAAACCAAATGGATAGCAACCTTCCAGAATGAAGAAAAGGCTCAAGAGTTGAGAAAGATGACGCTCAAGAAGCAAAGGCTCAGGAAAGGACTGCTGGTGAAGCTTGCTCAGATCTGGAGGCTACGTCACTGCAGAGGTTTGACTGGAAGGGAACTGGACTGCACTTTCCCCCCAGAAGGCAGGAGGCATTTGGGGCTGGGGGTGGGGAGAACTGGAGGGCTTACCAGACTAGCTGGGCTAGGCCACAAGAGGATTAGATCGTGGCATGAGGTGGCTGATGAGGGCAAGCTCTCTTCAAAGCCTTTCAGCTGAAAGGTTCAGAGGAGCAGAAGGTGAGGGAAGGCAGATGCCGAGGGACGGCCGACGGACATATTGTAAATCTCCCCTGAACTAGGTTTCTGGAAGATCAATGAGGGCAACATGACTAAGCTACAAACTATACTTGTGTAAAATAATACAAGTAACTACCATTTACTGAGTATGAGTTGCTATCTATGCAGCAGGTTCTGTGCTAAGCTAGTCACGCACATAGTATCTGAGTTAATTCTTACAACAGATATACAAATTTGAACTATTACTATCCCATATCTGCAGGGTAGCTACTAGTGACAGAATGGGGATGAAAACCAGATTGGTCTGCTCATGTTTTTGGCCACTTCGCTACTAAGGGATGTGCAAAGTGCGTGGAGCTCGCCGAGCCCTCAGGAGGACACACTCGATCAGAGTAGAGCCTGAAACTCCGATTCCATGCCTTAAATGTACGAGGTCCTGAGTGCCAGCCAGAAGTAGAAAATTTTGTGTTTAATAGTGATTCGTCGAGTAACTCCAGAGGTTACACAAATCCTGAAACAGCCGATGGCAAAGTTCAGCAAACACAATAGCAGTTCACAATAAAACACTGTTACCAGACCCAGTGTTCCACCCAAGACTAAGAAGAGAGCGATTTAAGACTGGTTTCACTCAACATTCAAACTCCTTCCTAGGAAAGAGCTAGTATCCATCAACACGAATTAATAATTAAGTAGTAATGACAAAATTCCATGTGCATCCAACCACCCTGTGACCCAGCAATTCCATTTCTGAGAATCTCTTCTAGAAAGAAGATGCATGCACAGCACTGCCCGTGGCAGGAGCGGCCAGTACCGCGGGGTGGAACAGACGCTGCACCCACACTTGAAGTGCTGCGCAGCTACAGAAGTGGGGAGGGGCTCCACAGCAGTGATTTCCACAATTGTTTGAATACTTGCTGTGGAATAACTCCCAGGATTTATTTTGTTTGTTTGTTTGTTTGTTTTTTGCGGTACGTGGGCCTCTCACTGTTGTGGCCTCTCCCGTTGCGGAGCACAGTCTCCGGACGCGCAGGCTCAGCGGCCATGGCTCACGGACCCAGCCACTCCGCGGCATGTGGGATCTTCCCGGACCAGGGCACGAACCCGTGTCCCCTGCATCAGCAGGCGGACTCTCAACCACTGCGCCACCAGGGAAGCCCCCAGGATTTATTTTTAAGTGAAAGTACGAATGGAGAAAAGCAGGTACAACTGCTACCATTCATCTCAGGGGGGGCGGGTATATTAAAAAATTTTTAATAAAAAATGAACAAAAACTTAAAACACTGTAGCCCGGGGAAGAAGGGGACAGGGTAGAAGAAACAAGCGCATGAGAAGAGCCCTAGGTTGAATCAAGCCCCCCAACCCTGCCCAGTGCCCAGTGCCGCCCCACTGGAGGGGACCCCGCTCTGCTCCTGTTTGGGAACACGCCCAGCCATCCTCACAGCCACCACCACGACCATGCAGACAGGCCTCGAGTTACACAACCATGGGCAGGGGCAGACCCTCACCTCCTGCCTCCAAGTCCAACTCTTAAAATCCTTGACACACTTAAGTGGTTCCTTTCTAATCTTCCCAGCATCAGAGAATTCCTACTGATACCAAACAAGTGATTTAATTTACCAACTGGGCCCATATTAGTCCCTCTCTCTTCCAGTCAGTATGTCATACCAAATTCATGTGTGCAAATACCATCAAATGAACTTCTACTTTCAATTAAAGCATTACAAGAAACTACTATGTTTGGTAATAGAAAACATTGCCAGACTTTCCAATTAATGAAAATTTATTAATAGAGGCCATATATTCTTAAAAATACTGTTATGTTTATATGTGTGCATATAAACATATACTTTTATATAAGTTATACAAGTTTATAAATGTACAGAAAAAGTTTGCAAGAATACAAGGAGTGAGGGCTTCCCTGGTGGCGCAGTGGTTGAGAGTCCGCCTGCCGATGCAGGGGACATGGGTTCGTGCCCCGGTCCGGGAAGATCCCACATGCCGCGGAGCAGCTGGGCCCGTGAGCCATGGCCGCTGAGCCTGCGCGTCCAGAGCCTAGAGAAGCCACCACAATGAGAAGCTCACACACCACAACGAAGAGTAGCCCCGCTCACTGCAAGGAAGACCCAACGCAGCCATAAATAAATAAATAAATAAGTTTAAATAAGTACATAAAACGACGCCCTGCTTCCCTGGTGGCGCAGTGGTTGAGAGTCCGCCTGCCGATGCAGGGGACACGGGTTCGTGCCCCGGTCCGGGAAGATCCCACATGCCGCGGAGCAGCTGGGCCCGTGAGCCATGGCCGCTGAGCCTGCGCGTCCGGAGCCTGTGCTCCGCAATGGGAGAAGCCACAACAGTGAGAGGCCCGCATACCTACCGCAAAAAAAAAAAAAAAAAAAAAGGAATACAAGGAGGGGACTTTCCTGGTGGCGCAGTGGTTAAGAATCCTCCTGCTAATGCAGGGGACACAGGTTTGAGCCCTGGTCTGGGAAGATCCCACATGCCACGGAGCAACTAAGCCTGTGGGCCACAACTACTGAGCCTGCGCTCTAGAGCCCGTGAGCCACAACTACTAAGCCCACGCGCCTAGAGCCCGTGCTCAGCAACGAGAAACCACCACAACGAGAAGCCACAGCACCACAACGAAGAGCAGACCCCGCTCGCTACAACTAGAGAAAGCCCACATGCAGCAATGAAGACCAAATGCAGCCAAAAATTAATTAATTAATTAATTTTTTAAAAATACAAGGAAGGGGCTTCCCTGGTGGCGCAGTGGTTGAGAGTCCGCCTGCCGACGCAGGGGACACGGGTTCGTGCCCCGGTCCGGGAAGATCCCATATGCCGCAGAGCGGCTGGGCCCGTGAGCCATGGCCGCTGAGCCTGCGCGTCCAGAGCCTATGCTCTGCAACGGGAGAGGCCACAGCAGTGAGAGGCCCGTGTATCGCAAAAAAAAAAATAAAAAAATACAGGGAGGGGAATGAGGCTTTTATATTTTCCTCTATTTCTATATGTTTGAATTACTTCTAAGAAGCATAAACTACTTTTCTAGTTATTTTTGTAATTTACAATTAAAACTAAGAATTTTCTAACACAGAAGTACTACTTTATACAATAAATGACTCTGAAATTATGTGACAATAGACTTTTCATAAACTACATTTTAATTATATTAGCGAGAATGATACTTAGAAACAAGACGCTCTTATAACTAATCTACTCCAAATCTGATTTGAAAAATTTTTTTTCTGAATCATCAAGTTTTAAAGGTAAAGTGCAACTATGTTGAAACAAACACTTTAATGACCAAAAACAATAATGACTCCTGTAAAAAATATTCCAAAATGAAATATTCGCCTTCCCTAACAGTAGTTGATTTCTCTAAGTTCACCGGTATTTCTCAAGTTAGGTCTGCCAGTACACCAGCAATTCCTATTCATCCTGTCACACCTCAGGCAAGACACACACCAGTCCCACGAGTCACCTACATGTAATAACAGAGCTTCTCTACTCACCATCATGCACCAGGACAGAAATACAATTCGCCTGGTGTGAATTCTGATTCTGTTACTGCATTTTCGTCACTGTGC